CTGCAGTGACCTGCAGACCGGAACAAGATATTCCCTGCACTGTTTGATGACCTTGAAATGTTCTGGTCGAATAGCCATTTTTTGACTATTCCTGAAAAAGAATCACATAATAAACAAAGATACCATTCAATTTCGGCCCTGACGCTAAGCTCTCGGCCTTGTTGAGTCTCGGCAGATTTTGCAAGCCCGTGCTTTGCAATTTCCGACTTTTGTGATGAGTGCGGAGATTACGTTTTTGAACAGCTTCCAGCTTCCAAACTTGTATAACTTCATTTGGCAGTTCATAATTAACCAGTACTTCCGTGCTTGTCGGGTTTCATTTCACTGCTTATTGCTGGTCTTATGCAACTTCTCCGAACATGAAACCGCCTATGAAACACCCTGCAGCCCGCAGAAATAATCTAATTTAGGTAATTTCGTCAGAGTCCAGTTGTTGATGCAGAGTATACTGGTCAGGCCACATCTTTCACTTCACCGTCTATGTCTATTGCTATTAGCTGCATGGAGTAGCTGAAACATCTTTGGACAAGACGGTCAGATTTGGGTCTTGCTTATGCTCGACGCAAAACCTCGTATTGCTTATCAACCCATGACCGGGGGGACGGTAGGAGCTGAGGTCGATCATTATGCTACGTCTACTCTGTACTTTGTCTGCCGCCTAAGGACTTTCCAAATATTGGGGCTGAGTGACATTCGGGTGATCTGATGCTTGTTTCCCGTTGGCAAGTATATCACAAACGCCAACATGTGATTCAAAACTTGACTATCTGCGCTCTATCAACTAGTTGACTGGGAACCTGCTGAACCGAGGTTAATCAACCTCACTACCTCTCTTTCGCAATGGCTTGGATTCGAATTTTCTGTATTTGAGCAGATTCCCCGGGAATCATTGAAGCATTTCACGACTAACTTTCCTCGTCGTATGGATCCCATACTGAGTACACATGAGTGGCTTTATGAGGGATTCGGAGATATTTCAAAGGTGATCCATGGAAAAGTCGTTTTGCACATTTAAGCCGTTTTTCCCGCCTGTTCTCTAGCTACAACGCCAATAAGGAAGAAAATATCTACCAAAAAGACTACCAACAAAGACTACACAAGGCCGCATAAGCGGCCAACTATTCTTGTACAAGTAGATGGATATGTCCTCACATAATACCAATGGCTCACACTCCAGGGCTATACCTTCTGAAAAATCTCAATACTAATAAAACCAGGCATCGATGACTGCATCAGGAGAATAGTGTTCCAATGCCATACGCGCTTGCTAGTTAGTATATGGATGTCTTGTCTTCAACAACTTCATGCGGAGATTGGCGATATACAGCTAGCTAACTTCTTTCAGTATCAATTTCATCTAACTTGCGGTTGTCAACAGCTTAATTTGAATGTCAATTAATTGAAAGCAAAACTATGGTCATATAGTTCCGTGTTGAAGTTATAGAAGCCGCTTACATTTTGGCATAGTAGCCGCAAATATATGGGAAAGAACAATCACCTAGCCACCTCCTGTTTGTTTTGGTTTTATTTACAGTTAGGAACAGAAATTACTCTAGTGGACATTTAATATCCATTGCACTATCCTAAAAGACAGAATTTCCAACATTGAAGCTTTGACTTGAAAACGATAAACACCTGTGTCATGTGATCTTATCGATAACCCACATCCAAAAATCCGCCACTATTAACGATGGAGACATCAATTCCAGAACTCCACAAACTCTTGACGTCGAAGTTTCCTGAATCTCGGCGTGACGCACGCCCTACCGAGCCTGGCAAGATGGAGTCGGAACTCCAATCCCAGATCCCTGGCCTCGACCAAATCATCACCGAATACTCAGTGGTACGTCTCTCCGCACATATGCGCGGTGGAGGATTGTGAGTCTATTGAAGCTGACTATTTGACAGGGCTACTTGACCCATGCCGCAAACCTCTACGTCGACGATGCCAGTGGCGAGTCCCCCTTGACAGAGGCCGCCCAATCCGTGACCGAGCTCCTAGTCTCCGCTTCTGGAGATTTCTCCCCGCAAAACTACGAAGCGATCGGCAACTTGGTTACGAGGTTCATCACCACGCTGAGCTCTTCCGATGACGACCCGGAACGGAGGCAAATGCCCTTCAAGGCCAGGAAGCTTGAACAGACCATCAGTGTCGGCGCACAGCGGAACATGTCGTCTACACTGGGGCTGACTGGAAACACTGTCGACTTGGAATCTGCCAATGCTAGAAAGATGGAGTCCAAGGTCGACAAGAAGAAGCTCGAGAAGGCCGAGCGCAAGATTCGCGCCAAGCAGGACAAGAAGTCCATGAAAAACGTTACCTACGAGGCTTCCCGTCTGCTCAACCAGCCTGATGAGGCTATGTCCTACGAGGAGTTCTTCATGGCTGTCAACCCTCTTCAATTGGGCTCGGATTCCCAGGCCAAGAGTAAGGACATCAAGCTGGATAACATTGATATCTCGATTAGTGGTCTGCGCATTCTTACAGATGCTGCCTTCACACTCGCTTATGGTCGTCGTTACGGTCTTGTTGGTCAGAATGGTATCGGTAAATCTACACTTTTGCGTGCTCTGAGTCGCAGAGAAATCCCGATTCCGACTCACGTTTCTATTCTTCACGTTGAGCAAGAGGTATGTTTAAATCTTAGCTCGGTTGCTTTTTCTCTTACTGACTTTCTACCATAGATTACTGGTGACGATACACCAGCTTTGCAAGCAGTGTTGGATGCTGATGTGTGGCGGAAACATCTTCTCTCGGAGCAAGCGGTTAGTCAACTCGCAAGATATCACAGCAGCATATTCACTAACGACCATAGAAAATCTCGAAACAACTGGCAGCCATCGAAGAAGAAAGATCTTCATTGGCGGATACTTCGAAGGATGCTGCTAGACTTGACGAGGACCGAGAGGGCCTGGACATCACGCTGAGCGATATTTATGGAAAGCTTTCAGAAATGGAGTCCGATAAGGCTGAATCTCGTGCGGCCAGTATCTTGGCTGGTCTTGGTTTCTCCCAAGAGCGCCAGCAGTATGCCACCAAGACCTTCTCCGGAGGTTGGAGAATGCGTTTGTCCCTCGCACGAGCTCTATTCTGCGAGCCTGATTTGCTTTTGCTTGACGGTATTTACCACTGGTCTCTTTATTCCACAAGCAGCCTACTGACATTTCACAGAACCGTCTAACATGTTGGACGTTCCGTCAATTACTTTCCTTTCCAATTACCTTCAGGGATACCCTAGCACAGTCCTTGTGGTTTCTCACGATCGTGCCTTCCTGAACGAAGTCGCCACGGATATTATCCACCAGCACTCCGAGAGGTTGGACTACTACAGAGGTGCTAACTTCGGTAAGTTACACGCAATCTCAAGACTATGAATGGTTCTAACAACTTGTAGAATCCTTCTATGCAACCAAGGAGGAGCGCCGCAAGACTGCTAAGCGTGAATACGAGAAGCAAATGGGCGAGAGAGCACACTTGCAAGGTTTGTCACCCCCTCCATCTTGTCATAGGGGCAGTGTTAACGATCACCATCAGCATTCATTGATAAGTTCCGATACAACGCTGCGAAGTCATCCGAGGCACAGTCGAGAATCAAGAAGCTTGAGCGCATGCCAGTTCTCGAAGCTCCAGAGGCCGAGTACACCGTGCACTTTGCATTCCCCGGAGTCGAGAAGCTTTCACCACCCATTGTCCAGATGTCCGATGTTTGCTTCGGCTACACCAAGGACAAGCCTCTTCTCAGGGATGTCGATCTCGATGTTCAACTTGATTCGCGTATTGGAATTGTCGGACCTAACGGTGCTGGTAAGACCACAGTTCTGAAACTACTCACCAACCAGCTTGAGCCAACAAGCGGTCTCATTTCCACAAACTCGAGACTGCGCATTGGATTCTTTGCCCAACATCACGTCGATGCTTTGGACATGACTACTAGTGCAGTTGGCTTCATGACCAAGACATACCCCGGTAAAACTGACGAGGAGTACCGACGACACCTGGGAGCGTAAGTTTATCCAAACCACCCGCATCTACCATATTGACTAATTCCCATATTATAGGTTTGGTATCACTGGTACAACCGGTCTCCAACGTATGGAACTGTTGTCTGGAGGTCAGAAATCTCGTGTTGCATTTGCTTGCTTGTCCTTGACCAATCCTCATATCCTTGTTCTTGACGAACCTTCCAATCACTTGGATATCGAGGGTATGGATGCTCTGTCTGATGCACTCCGGTTGTTCGAGGGAGGTGTGGTGATGGTTTCCCACGATGTTACCATGTTGCAGAATGTCTGCACCAGTCTCTGGGTTTGCGACGGCGGTACTGTTCACAAGTTCGACGGCACCGTCAACGCCTACAAGAAGAAGATCAGCGCGCAGGCTGATTCTGCCGGTGTTGTGACTAAACACTAGGGTAGGGTAGTAGGGCTATATATGTACAGATTAATGCCGTAAAAACTATGAATATCCTGCATGAATCTACATTATTACCGTTATTGTTATTTCTTGAGTACATATGTACCGGATAATGCCTGGTACTCGAAACCTTTCCCTTTCCGTTTTAGTGCTCACTTCTTGCCTCTTTTTGATCACCAAGTAAAACTGACGCAGTATTTTTTCCATGTTTGTCTCAATTGCAAAGTTACTGCGCCAAGAGCAGAAATCAAGAGCAACCCCTTCCTGAGTGGCCTAGCGGTTGGCAGACCAAGCAATCAGATTTAGAACAATATAAATGGGGAGAAGACAAAAGACCAAGAGACCAAATAATCAAGCAACTAAAAGCCAAGTTCACACAACCGGGCGCCTGCATTTTCAATCAAGAGGGGGACGATATCACAAAGCACCCGGAGAACTTCATTGGCACGCTCCGAAGTCCAAATCGTGTTCGGCGCTCCTATGTTGATCTCCAGGTTGCTCTCTCCCGGCGTCACCTCGACCTCGACACAATTACGAGCCCGGACAGGGCCAGAATGTACTGGAATCCATGAACACCTCGCCGATCCTAGTTTGAAAGTCTGCTTTTCCGCGGAGGTGTTTGGAAGTTGAGAACACTGCCAAAGGCGGGTTCCCCTTCGTCGATGGACACCATATTCTTAAATTCAACTAGCTCAAAAGCCAGACTCTCCGCATATTGACGCTGGATGAACTCCATCAGATCGAGGACAGAGCATGTCAAGTCCATTTGGACACGAACAGGGACTCTATTCATGCAAAGACCAAAGATGTCATCTGTGGCAAGGGTGTCTAACCTGTGCCCGCTAGTGGTCAGCCCAAAGGTGATGTCGTTTGGTGTACCAGAGAATCGGGAAAGGGTCAGCGCCCAAGCCGCCTTAACGACAGTTGCCTGTGTGATACCCATAGGAGACATGAAACAGGGTATCTGGATCTCCGACATAATCATACGGCTAGATTGATTTGGTAAGGGTGGGTTGAGTGATATCGCCGACGTGGGACATCTGGAAAACATCCAGATAATCTTGCCAGAACTTTAAGGCTTTCGTGTCGATCTGGGCCCGTGTTCAATGCTGCAGATGAACTGAGTATAGGATAGAGTCGCCCAGTGGAAGGTTCTCATATAGGAATTTTAAGTCTCTGCTGAGGTCGCATAGAGTACCCATCGTACTACGCGTGAGATAGGCGAATCGCGAGAATAGCGTCTTAATAACGGGTCTGAACCAGGAAGAATTGTGCGATCAAAACATTGGTAGGAGGAATTGAAATATAATCCGCGCGGCAGATATTCTCAACGAAAGCAAGCAAGTCATTATCTGTCTCGTGTCGCACGAGACGCAGTCTAAGCTGCTTCAATACAACCTACACCCATATAGATTTGTATACCTAGAAGAATAACCGCAAGGTTTCATACCGCTGCACTAAAGCATAACAGGCCAGTTCCAGCCGCTCTAGATTGACGTGTCTAGAGATACGCAAAGCAAAATAATAGTAGGGCTCGTGTAGTCTCAAAAGCTAGCTATCAGTCGTCGGAAGGATTTCTTGGATATTTTCGGCGGAAAGACTCTAATTCGATGATACAGTGATATCTCTTATCGTATCTTCTAGGGATATAGGCTCTGATAGTAATGGCTGTATATAATTTGAGTTAACGCACATCTGTGAAGGTTGGTTGGTATTAGCGATAGCCGCGAGGTCTGCTAGCTTTGGAGACTGAAATATATCCACGATTTGGAATATCGCTCCCTGCTTACAGGCCTAGGAGACAAATTGAATCGTAATGATTGAATCACCGCTAAGATGAAAGAAATAATTATCCATTCTAATGTTCTCTATAGAAAGCCCTAAGACTTCTGCACAAATATGTAAGTACTTCCTTCGCCGATGTGGCAGGTAGTCGCCGGTGTTGGCTTCTGGTACTGAAATAGGACAACTCCTCTAGACTGAAACTCGAAGCTTGCTCCTGTAGTTGCTGGCGATCTGTTTTTCCATTCGTGGTTGTGGGCAGCAGGCGCACAGTCAGTAATCATGCTGGGATCATATAGACTGGGAGTTGCCCCTGCAGCTTCTTCTCCAACGTGACAAGTTCTTTCTGCATTTTGTTGTAGGGAACAACAAATGCCCTTTGCTCCGTGCTTTGACAAGTTTACACATCTTTGCAGTCGTGATGTTCGATCTCAATAAAAGCAGTAAGAATCTTTTGGGAGCTCACTCCTCCATTTTCCACAAGCTCGACAGCCACTGCCTTTGCCAGCGGAAACAATTGCTGGATTGTGCTCTCAATACCACCAATCTCCACACGTTGTCCGCGATCTTGACTTGAAAGTCCTTCCGGCCGAGGAAGCGGAGGGATCCAACGTCACTAAGTTGCACGAGATCACCCGTCTTATAGAGACGGGTATCTTCGGTATCCTTACGGAATTCTCGTAGCCACGGGGGAGGACTAGTAATAAACGCCGCTGCACTCGCAGCAGAGTTGTTGATGTACCCACGGCCAACCGTAGGACCCCCAATAACCAGCTCCCAACCGCTCCAATTGGGACCAGCTTATTATGATCTGATGAGTTAGCCACCCAACAGTTACGAAAACAGGGAATGGCCAATATTGCACAAGTCAGAGGTGGCTGTGACAGAAGTCTGCAGTGAAGAGGCCACACAGCATTCAGCTGGGCCGTAGATATTCAACAAGTTCACTTGATCGTCCCAGTCAGATACCTCCCGGATAGACATAGACTCACCACCCGCCAGGGAAAACCCGGTATATATGTAGCACGATCGGCCAGATACAACTGTCGTAGGCCTGCCAAGTCAGCCGATGCTGACCATGCTCAGCTACTCTCTTAAACCCAAGAAAGCTGATAAGTTGTTTAGTATTTGCTCAAAATGAACTATCTTCCGTGATATCCATGAAGACTATGAAAGACCAAGACACTCAGGTCTCATGCATATGCCACTCGATTGTTTTCCGCAATCCACATTCTAATTGTACCACTGGCGCCCAACCAAGCTCAGCCATCGCTAAAGTGATCTGTGGCCGCCGGACGTGGCTCTCATCGACAGGGCGTGGGAAATAGGTGATTGATACTTTTTCCTTGCCTGTCACCTGGGCGACAAGTTCCACTATTATCTCGGCCAGCTTTTGGATAGTGATTTCTGCATCATTACCAATGTTCACTGGGCCGTCGCTGTAAGCGCTGTTCATCAGCGTATAAAGTCCTTCGATGCAATCTGTAACGAACTGAAATGACCGGGTCGCGGAACCATCGCCAGTAACCCGTATATCTTGGCCGGCCAGCGCAGAAGCAACAAAGCTCGAAACTACCCGGCCATCACCAGAGCCCATTCGTGGTCCATAGGTGTTGAAGATGCGGGCTATCCTAATATCCGCCCCAAACTGCTCGCGATACGCGTAACACAGAGCTTCTGCAACTCGCTTTCCTTCATCGTAGCATGAGCGGGGTCCGAAGGGATTGACATTGCCCCAGTAGGTTTCAGGTTGTGGGTGAACTTGAGCATCGCCGTAAACCTCTGTATTCATCAATACTTATTCAGTCAAATGAACGAGAGTGGGTTGCATTGTTATTCCTCTCACCCACCTGATGTGCTTGTATGTAGAATCCGAATTCCTCTGCATTTTGCAAGCTCCAAGAGATTCTCAGTGCCAAGAAAGCAAGTTTTAAGGGTTCCTAATGGATTTTTCTGGTATTGTATCGGACTCGCTGGACACGCAAGGTTGTAGATTTGATCGATTTCACATAGTTCTTTGATAGGAGATTGAATGTTATGACTGAGATAAAAGGTTAGTGCGAGATTAAATACTGTCATTCGAAATGCGTACCTGATCAGAGTGAACCGAGCGTGGTTCTCCAAGTGTCTAAGATTGTTAGGAGAGCTAGTTTCGAAGCTATCCATTGCTATGACACGATGACCTTTGGAGAGGAGAAAGTCGATCAGGTTCGATCCTAGAAACCCTGCACCCTGTTTTACGGTAAGTGATGGACCACGAGGCGAACGCGTCATAATTGTTTTCTTACCCCTGTAACAAGGATTCTTTTAGAGCCGTGTGCGCCATTCATCTCGTTGGAGGTCACCCTGGTACAAGTGAGAGAACTTCCTTTTCGGTGGGATAGCAGCGAAAAGTTAGGAGCAAGTTTGTGTGGGCTTCCGTTTTGCTTAGGAGAGACTTATCATAACGAGCAGGTGATCTCATGTCCATTCCTGCAGGCGAGGAATCGATCGGTGACTATATACACCGCCACTATAATCAAATTCGGTAATTCCTCGTACGTGCTAGTATCATTTCTCTGCGATTGTATTGTCTCGGTCTCGGTATTTCACGAGCCGCGCGGGCAAAGTACGGCTTGCGAAATTTACTTTTCTATAACTATTTCCGCAGATTTGTTGGTCGTCTGGCAAGGTGCCCGTTTGAACCCGACAAAAACACCAGCATCAAGCTTGCAACATGATTCAAAAGATTGTATGCATTGGAGCGGGATTTGTCGGTAGGTGAAGCCTCATGACTTGAGAAATCACTCACTCACTCTTTACAAGGAGGGCCACTAGGCACGACTTTTGCGTATCAATGTCCCGAGATACAAGTGACAGTGGTAGACATCAACAAGGCCGTTGTGGACGCATGGAATTCGGAATCGCTTCCACTATATGAGCCAGGCCTTTCAGATGTTCTTTCGAGTGTTCGTCAACGAAGCAATGGTTCGATTTGCAACAATGGCACCAGCGAAGATATGAAGGTTGAGAGTGAGGCAACCTCTAAGGCCTATCCGCATACCAAATGCAACTTGACCTTCTCAACGGATGTTGAAACCGCAATACAAGAAGCAGAAATGATCATGCTTTGCATTGACACGCCAACCAAAAAGTCTGGCCTAGGAAAGGGGTCGGCACTCGATATGACCAATCTCGAAGCTGCAGTGATGACAATCGCACGGGTCGCGAAAACCGATAAAATCATTGTCGAGAAGTCCACCGTCCCTTGTGGGACGGCAAGCGCACTTCGCGAGCTGGTACATATCTGCATTCCTTCAATATTCGTGACTTTACCATATGCCATGAATCGATGCTGACTTACAAGTCGAATACAGCTAGATGCCAGAGCTGGTGGCGCATGTCGTTTCGAAGTGCTATCCAATCCAGAATTTTTATCGGCAGGAACAGCTCTATCAGATCTTCTCTCCCCTTCTCGGGTCCTTATCGGATGCCCTGATACTCCATCCGGCCATCAAGCGTCAGAGGAACTGGCGTCAATCTATAGAAGATGGGTACCTGATGAACGGATTATCTTAATGGATTCTTGGTCTTCAGAGCTGTGCAAGCTTGCTGCCAATGCAATCTTGGCGCAGCGAGTCAGCAGTATCAACTCTCTCGCCGCTATTTGCGAGGAAACGGGTGCGGATATCGACTTTGTTTCTCAGTCATGTGGTTTGGATCAACGGATAAATCAGGCAATGCTTCAACCCTCGCTGGGATGGGGCGGAGGCTGCTTCCAGAAAGACGTCCTCTGCCTTGCATACTTGGCAAGGAGCCTGGGCCTGCACCAGGTTGCGAATTACTGGACCTCTGTGGTGGAGGTAAATGAGTACCAGAAATTGCGATTTCTTGACCGCATAATCACACATATGCACGGATATGTCGGCAAGAAGTCGATTGCTGTCCTCGGGTTCGCATTTAAGAAAAATACCTCGGACACCAAGAACTCTGCAGCGATCCCTCTGGTCCAGGGTCTCCTAGCAGAAGGTGCGTTTGTGTCCATTTATGACCCTTTGGTCCTACCACATCGTATTCTGGCCGATGTCAATGTACCAGGAACAACCATGGACCAGTTACGGATAGCCCCAACAGCATATGAAGCATGTGCAGGTGTGGAGGCAGTTGTGGTTGCAATTGACTTGGATAGCTTCGGAACACCGACAAAATTAGCATCCCAGAGGTTACGGAAGAATAATTCGAAATTGCTGCCCTACCAACACCGCACTGAACCCCTTGATTGGCCACGGATTGTCGATGGGATGCGGGGGCCTAGATACATATTTGATGGGAGGAACATGTTGGATGGGGAATACTTGCGAGGTTTGGGATGTCAGTACGTTAGTGTTGGCAAACAGCCTAAATGAAGTATCTTACAGAACCTCAGCAAGTAAGATTCATTGGAACTATAATCTGTTTTTGGGGGGAATTTAGGAAGAATGCCCAAACTGGCGGAAGGGGGTTCTGGCTCCTATCTGTTGCTCACCCCCATTTAGCCAAATTGTTATAATCGTAAGTCGTAGCTTGGTTTGCACGGTGGTTCCGAATATGCAGTCCGTATACGGAGTACAGTGAGTAAAATTTAAGCCCAACAAGCCCTAACTATACAGTGCGTAGGTAGAATTCGTTTACCTTGACCCCTCGCTGAATTGCGACATGCAGGCTACCGCAACGATATATATCCATGTACGTAAATGTACCACTTCCTGGAACAAATTTAGAGCCTCGCCGAGCCCTTCAGTGGCGTAAATGCCGTTCCTATTGTCAGGCTGCCCTGTCCTGTATGAACGTTTAAACTGGCCAAGTTTTGTTTCCGCTAGCAAGATGGCCGAACTGCTGATAGAGAAGAGGGATTGGCAGGGATAATTAGCAGTGATTCAACAGTGGAATCAAAGTAAAAGTGAGGTTATACATATGCATTCGCGTTGAGCGAGCGCACGCGCGAAGTGGGCGGTGGAGAGAGAAATGTCGGTGTGAATGGGAGGTATAGACACCACTTTTTGCTTACCAACTATACAAACAAAATACAGTAGAGCGTCCAATAGCACGGTTAAAAGTCAAAGTTCGGCTTTGCATCTGCGTGTTGATGCAGTAAACAGAGAATTTATCCGCATGTAGTGCCCCATGGCTAGCTGAACCTCCGTGAGACCCCTCCGTGGCGTCATATAATACAGTCATCGGAGACGATGGTACTGCATTCACTAGTCTGGAAGCTGTATCCTCCAATGAGTAGGTCAAACAAAAATTTATGCACACTCAGCCGAACTCCAGTCAAACAGAGAAAGAGATCTGCAGTAGCGCCTAGCGGTATTATATTTTTGACAATAGATGCATCATCTGAAGGATAGACCTGATAGAAAATGCAAAAAGTTTGTCCTCGCAATTACGCACAAACACTATATTGCAACATAACTAGGACCTCCCTGGCGGTTGATGGTCATCGACTTAGGACTCTATCCTGGCCACTGCATTCATTTGGCATTGGCACAATGATTCCGAACAACATTCCTCCGGTCACGGGGCAAGAACTCAAATATATTGGCCAAGTTGTGAATGGAGGTGTCATTGGCGAGGATGGCCCATTTAGCAAACTGTGTTAATCGTGGCTCGAAGAACGACTCTATTCTCCAAAAGTGTTCCTGACCCCGTCGTGCACGGCAGCTCTCGAACTCGCAGCCCTGTCGCTTGAACTCCAACCCGGGGATGAGCTAATCCTCCCAAGCTACACATTCATCTCTACAGAAAATGCATTTCTCCTACACGGGTGCTTCCATGGTGTACGTGGACATCGAACCTGACACGATGAACATGGACCCAGCCAAGGTCCGCGAGGCTATTATCCCAAAGACTCGTGTAATTGTTCCAGTTCACTATCCTGGCGTACCATGTGACATTTATGCCATAGCGGAGGTCATTGGTGATCGTGAAGATATATACATCGTTGAAGACGCAGCCCAGGGCCTCTTTTCTTCTGACAAGAATGGGAAGGCCCTTGGCACCATAGGACATATCGGATGTCTCAGCTTCGGTGGGACCAAAAATCTCACTTCCGGCGGAGCAGGCGGCGCTATTGTCATCAATGACCAAAGACTGCTTGATCGCGTCGAGACTATTCGAGACAAAGGGACCAATCGAACCCAGTTCCTCAAGGGTGAAGTGGATCACTATACATGACAGCGGGCGGGAGTTACTTATCTTCTCAGTGAGATGCAAGCTGCTTATCTGTGGGCACAATTGGAGTTTGCGGAACACATACAAACCCATCCGCTCAGGCTTTGGGAATTCTATCGATAAAATTTGATCGTGTTAGATGGAGAGGAAACGGCTCTCTTCTCCCCAAATATCGAGGACGAGCACCCGTCAACTGGGCCGTTCTGCATGGCGAGACTCAGACGGGAGCAACTCTCCATCAGATGGTCAAGAAGCCCGATGCTAGAGCTATTGTGGGGCAGATGGCAGTTCCTATTCTTCCCAATGATACGGCAGCCGAGGTCTTCTCTAAAGTCGTCGTCGCCGCCGAATTAGTCCTCAACGAGACTTTGCCTGCAATAGTGAGTGGGAGCATCAACATCCAAAAGATGGATCTCACTCAGGGATCCTACTTTGGCGGTCGTAAGCCCCAAGATGGAATCATTGATTGGAAAATGATGGGTGCGAGACAAATCCACAATCTCGTACGAGCAGTTTCCCACCCTTACCCAGGAGCGTTCAGTTATACCCCTCGAGGAAAGGTAGTCATCTGGCGCACAATACTTGCAGAAAGCCAGGCCCTGTTTTGCTGAGCCCTGTTTATGGCAAAAGAACAACCAGGCCTTCGCAACAGCCTACGATGGTGGGGTCCTGCGGATCATCTCCGCGGAAATTGAAGGACGAGAGTTGCGTCCTGCTGCTTTTCCTGATCTTTTTCATGAGTTATTCCCACTGTGCTAGAAGAGTCTGGTCCACAACTCAAACACGAGGATATGTGGATAGGGATAAGCGTTAGGGACTGCTTCACCTTTCGCCCGGATAAAGCAGAGAATTTACAGCAAATATTTCTTAATATTATACAGCGAACTAAAAACACAATCCCTGGTTAATCAGATGACCTGGCGGACCGAGCTGGCAGCTGTTTAGATAGATAAAGGAAGGTATTTCCCTCTTTCAAATGCAAAGGGTCTATGAGTAAGACACCCAAAAGTGTCGCGAAGGGAAATTGCAATTTTATATCTAGTACCTAAAGCCTCTGCTATAGGATCTGCGGATTGACAGCCAAGCCCATGCCTTATCTCAATTCTTTGTCCTGGTCAGAGTCACTCCATGCCCGTGCGGCGAGTTCTTCGTCCAGAAGTATCTTTACACCCGCTACAGCCATCCCCTTACCCACATCCATGGTAATGTCGTGAGGCTCTAGCGTCTTTGATCACGAAAACCCTCGGTATGCATTGCGGTTCCGTTGGGTGTCGGAATGAAGTAATGGCCGTGGAATGAAGGAACTTAATAGCTCACGATACCTAGCATTTTGGTTAGTATAGAATATTTTCTAAACTCCATAGGGAAGCTAGATATTACATAAAAAGTATTAAGCTACTAGAGAACCTCCATATAGACTACCGTTGTTGAGGTATCAAGATGTAATTTATCGCATTTACTATATGTTTTGGGGTGTCCAGGTCGCTTGTGTCCAGCTCGCATGTGGAATACATATATTTTGCAACCCAGTCTTTGCTCTGCCTAATAGATTAAGCTTTCATTCCTCCCCAGTGCATATAGACAAAACCATTCCCACCAAGGTCATAATCTTCCAGTCCTGTCTTCTATCTCTTTCTTCTCTACTCTTCATCATTGTTTACAACATACTGAACCACATCGGCGTGCGGAATCCGAGTTCCGCTCCGGGCTTTGAGCGGGTATCCTTATCGGCTTATCGCGATCAACCCCAGACCCGTGAACGTCACTTTACCATCTCAGATGCCCCAGGGGATAATTTCAGATGATACCTCAGGGCTAGAGCTGGAAGAGCCCGAAGATATGACAGGCGCAGATGAGCATGACCAATCAGGTCCCCACGCCCCTTTGCTAGCCTCATCCCACGCCTCTTCAGACCATGATGACAATGAGCACGATGAGAGTCTGGCCTCTGAGCTGGAATACTCAGGAGGCTGGTTTATATGGGCGTTGACCTTTTCCGCTGGGATAAGCGGTTTACTATTTGGATATGAGTATGCTTAGCTCCTACCAGACACGCCATGTTGCTCCGTCGATCCTCCCGTTCACTAACAATTGTCGGAACTTCCAGCACAGGTGTTATTTCGTCTACTTTGGTGACCGTCGGGTCAGATCTTTCGGGTCGGGAATTGACCACACTCGATAAAAGCCTCATCACATCCTGCACCAGCCTGTTTGCGTTGATCGCGAGCCCGTTTACCGGAGTGCTAGCGGACAAGTTTGGTCGTCGGAAGGTCATACTTGGCGCAGATCTATTGTTTGCGCTTGGAGCTTTGGTACAGGCTTTTACGAGCCATGTTTGGGGTATGATTCTTGGCCGCAGCATTGTTGGTCTTGCTGTTGGTAGTGCGAGTGCGGTGACCCCATTGTAGGTTGGCCGTGTTGTGTCAGGCGGGGACTGAGAACCCTCAGCCATGGCGGAAATCCAATTGCAAGAGAGTTGATGATTACTAACACGCTGTGAAATCTCTCCAGGTATATCTCCGAGTTGGCTCCTTCGCACGTCAGAGGAAGACTTGTCACGATCCTCAGTCTGTTCATCACCGGTGGCCAGGTGGTGGCATACATAGTCGGGTGGCTGTTTTCCAGTACAACTGGAGGCTGGCGGTGGATTGTGGGAATTGGAGCATTGCCGGCCTTTTTCCAGCTTGCCATTCTCACTCTGCTACCCGAGACGCCTCGATGGCTGGTCCAGGCTGGATTCGATGCCCGGGCGAAGACAGTTCTGACCAAGATCTACCAGGACTGCCCTGGATGTGACCAGGTGGTGGATCGTGTCTTGCGCAATATCAGTGGAGAAATTGTCCAAGAGGCATCGGAGATGGGTCCAACCAAATCTTGTGGCACAAAGCCCCAGTGGTTACATGATACCGTCCAACGGGGCCAGCAGTTGTTGCAAGGTGGAAACAGAAGGGCATTGATCATAGCAATGATGCTCCAGGCGGTTCAGCAGCTATGCGGATTCAACAGCCTAATGTATTTTTCGGCAACCATCTTCTCCTCTCTTTCGTTCTCCTCGCCGACACTGACATCACTTTCGGTGGCTATGACGAACTTCGTCTTTACGCTGCTTGCATTTGTGCTGATTGACAAAATCGGTCGCCGGCGCATTCTCCTGTATTCAATCCCTGTCATGGTCGTTGCTCTTTTCGTCTGTGCTTTCTCGTTTTCGTCAATGGACGATAAATGGAATTCACAACCTCCAAGTGGCCGTCAAGAAAATCACGATAAAGCTAGTTCTCTTGTGCCCATTGCAATTCTGCTCTGTCTCACTGTCTATACCGCGGCATATGCCCTCGGACTCGGCAATGTCCCCTGGCAGCAGTCTGAACTCTTCCCTCTGAACGTACGTTCTTTGGGATCAGGACTGGCCACTGCAACCAACTGGGGATCGAACTTTATAATCGGTCTGACTTTCTTGCCCATGATGGAATGGATCTCACCCTCATGGACGTTTGCTCTCTATGCACTCGTCTGTGTGGTCGGGTGGGTTGGTGTATGGGCAATTTACCCTGAGATGAGTGGACTTGGCCTCGAGGAAGTCAAGGGTCTGTTAGCAGATGGCTGGGGGGTGAGAGAAAGCCTACAGCGACGTCATCTTTCACGGCATATATAGCATATGAAGAAAATATATCAATCTTGGGAGCACGTGCTCCATTTGGTCTCATGAAGGGCTACAATTCGAAGAGAACAGTTCTTCATGTCTCTTTGTTTCTCTTTGTTCTATTGTCACATGTGAGGTGAATTTAATTGGTCAGGTCAAGTAGTTTCTCCCAATCTAGTCAATTGCAATCGAACATTAGCCCTATTAATTGAGTTGACAATGGTATTGTACATTCGATAATCAATCACCCCAACGACACGTGAATGCACTTATCGAATATCTGGCAAACATCTGGCAAACATCTATCGAACATTTATCGCCTCTTATTGCCAGTATTCGCTCTTTTCACTTTACATTTTACGTCTCACATCGAAGTATGCACACGTAGTGAGTCTTCACACTTTAGAACGCTCTTCAGACTGTGCGACTTGCATACTGAATACTATACTCCAGGCACAGACATGTCGCACAATAACCACGTGCAGTTCGCTTCAACTACCATGCAAAGTGCTCGATGCCGACTGCTCGAGCTTCCCAACGAGGCAAGTATATTACTGTAGTTCTACAATGTAGATTGCAGCCATTGATATTTGAGACCAACAGATTCTCCAGGATATTGCATGCTGTCTCCCTAGCGATCGTGATATTCTCCATCTCTCCCAAACTTGCAACGAGATGTGGCAGAAGGTCTTCCAATCGGAGTCTGCCATCTGGCGATATCGCTTTGGTAAACACTACGACATTGCTCCGGGAAGACCTTCTAGGGAGTTAAGGATCGAATACCAGATTCGCGCCATTGTGCTGAGCTCTCCGATCCAATTCAAAGAGGAGGAAGATGATCGTCAATACCTCTGGATGGAGGTCATGCAGACTATGCTCGAGGAGGCTCTGAAACTACCCATCGCTCCTGGAGCAACCTCAAAGACCCTGCAACGTATATATGAGACCCTCAAAGGGGTAGACTTCCTGAGCGAGTTTCAGAAAGAACGAACTTCCTCGCAACTCTTTTATGGTCTTCAGCTTGTACGCATGTTTCGTCGAATAATGGACTGGACATTCACTGATATTTGCCATACACAGTGCCTAAGTTCATTTGCTCTCGATTCTACCATCACCGAACCCTGCCGTCGAACCGACTACGACATCAAACAAGTTTACTCATATGCGGACAACGTGGGCAAGACATTCATCGACCACCATGACCTTGATCTCGCCAAACTGCTGAACCTGCGCAATTTCTGGCAACGTCACTTTTTGAATGCTTCTGAGTTTACCTTCCAAGAATCCTTCTCTGGGCTGCCTGCAGAGATGAAGCCCAAGACGCGAAAGGATGTTCCAACCGAGGTATCCAAACTAAGCCCATCGTGGCTAGGATACTACTGTGAGTATACCATCAGCAAGAAAACTCAATCATTATCCTAAGCTCACATCAATTTCCGATCAGCGTGCATACATCCGCTGTCAGACCTGCACACAGAGCGCCAGACATGTGCTGATCTTGAGACACACGGCGACGCAATCGACATAATGGTAAGTAGAAGCCCAACTGCTGGGAAGGCTATGACCACCATGCTAACAGATGTCAAGACCCTCGACATCCAGCCTTCTTCCGAACAGTTCTGGCCCCAGCAATGCAGCAAGATCATCCCTTTCGCTAGTGGTCCCAATACCAAGCGGACATATTTCGATGGCAAGCAGAGAGCCTATGGTGGTGCCTACGAAGCAGGAAACCCTGTGTTCGGGTTTACCGAGGAGATTGCTGTCCCGCATGGTGGCTTTGGAGGATGGACACGGATCTGTTTTACCATCGTTGAAGCGGATGAGGAGGAAGAGGAGAAGCCTTCCTCCCTTATGATGGATGGCGAGGGTTGGATCCATGGATATGAGGCCGTCATCATTCCCGGTGGGCGCATGATGTTAGGACGGTGGGTGGATATGAAGGAACCAGATGCCAAAGGCCCATTCATCTTCTGGGACGTATGAAGGCCACGTCCGATGTCTTCTACGCTTTTCGTTTGCCTTTCGTTTGTGTTTTTCTTTGTTTTTCTTTTCTTTTCTGGGAGCCGAGCGGTGGACGAGATAAGGAATGAAACAGACCAAGCTCGCCCGAAGCGCTGGAAATTGACGTAGGATTCTCGGCTCAGTGGAATCAGTATTTATGATAACAAGCAATATAGCTTTTGGATAGAAGAAAAATTATGCGTTGAGGAAGGGAATAGATGACACATGGAAATTAAAACAGCCACTACTCCTCGATATCCTTGACCTTCTCCCACTCCCCCTTTAGGTTCTCCTTCCACAAACTGACCTTGTTATCACCACCGCTGACCGCAAGGATGTTGCCGCTGAGACTCCAGCTAACGCGCCACAGAACAGTGTCGAACTCCAGTGTTTGGCTGGACCACTGGCCTGGGTTGGAAGCATCAGAGGTCCAAATGCGAACGGTCTTGTCTTGCGCGGCGGAAGCGATGTAAGACTTGGAGAGAATGCTCGGGGACCAAGCCACATCACGGACCCAGTCGGAGTGTCCCTCGAGGGTTTGAGTGAGGTTGTAAGATTTGGACTCCGCGCTAAAGAGCATCGAGTCAGTTCACGTCATAGCTGAATGTTTGGCAAGTTTTATTAATGAATACATACTTATACTCCCAGATCTTGACCAGATTGTCGCTGCCACCGGTAACAAACCGGCGCTGTTGGCCAGGTCCGGGGTTAGAGCTGATAAGGCTACCAGCAAAGGCCGCGGGAGCCCAGCTGATAGAGTTGACGCCCATTCCGTGGGCATGGAAGGTCTGGTGGGTCCAGTTGTTGTCACGGAACTCGAGCACGCTGACATGGCCGTCGGAAGAAGCGCAGGCAAGAAGACATCCGCTCTCATGGGGGGCCCAGGAGACCATGTTCACGGAGGCCGTGTGAAGGGAGAAATCGAAGACCTTGGTCCATGTGCTACCACCGGAGGGTGAGGTCGCATTCTGGGGCTGTTCCCGCCAGATCAGAACCTTGCCATCGTAGGAAGATGAGGCCAGAATTGTGCCGAATTTCGGGTGGGCCTAGGTCGAGAGAATCGCATGGTCAGTCAGATTGCGCGCTGCAATGGCTGGTGTTTTGGGATATCAACTCACCCATGCGACACACCACACAGCGCCCTCGTGGCTATCAAATACCCAATGTCAGTGACCAGACACCCAGTTGCACTCATCAACAAGACCAGCTTACCCCTTCAGAGTCTCCACTAGCCGGTGTGATTCTCCCTCAATCTCAAAGATCTTTATCGTTTTGTCGGACGAACATGTGGCCAACCGGCGGCCGTAATAGTCCAAGCCAGCATCGTGCTATATTGAACATAGCGCAGTTAGCCCGAGTACATTGTGTAACCACATAGACCACCAATTGCAGTTTGCATCTTAGTACATACAATCATCTCTTCGTGCCCAGAATTCGAGATCACCTGAGGGGTCGCCTGGAGGTTTGAAGCTGTTAGTGATGGGATTGTGAAACAAGCTGAAAGCCATGTAGCTGAATAGCAAATACCATGTTGGATTAAATAAAGCAAATAATAAATTTGACAGCTGTGGAAGCGCGGGGAGTCGGAGCAGCTCTCTCCCTTTCAGCCAAACAACCTGGCCCTTCCCGTATCTTATCGTGTGCTTAGCTCAGTCACGTTACCTGGATCTATGCACGTGATGAGCCTCGGCCGTCGGTAACCCCCACGGCAGGCGTGGCGTGGAGTCTCTTCTGAAGTTCAACACCTTTCATCTCTATTATTGTAATTTGTGCTGAAACTGATCACGGAGAGATTTGGAGACGAACATTACACTACTACACTTCTCGCTCGGTTTTGGTCGATCTAAGCAGGTCATTATGGCTGATGCGCTGTGCGGGCCGTCGAATGCCCTTCAGAACTTCCAGAAGCATACATCTGTTGATCGGACCCTTCAGCAAGACCGGTTGACTTCACGTCAATCGCCTGTCCAGGTTGGTAGTGCTTTTGAGATCACATTGTTTCATTCGTACTAAAAGCATACTACAGGGTTTCCGGTCCCAGAACCCCCAAGAAGGAATACTCGACCCGGAGTTCGCCGCATTCGAAGGCAACCTCGCTGGCCCTGCATTGCCCAACTTGCAACATCCCGTTCATTTTGGAGCACCATCACATCATGCCGCGGTACACCACCCAGCTGCACATGGCGCAGGCAACGCCAGTTGGGCATCGGACTTTCAGAACTTGCAAATCTCGGGGCCCTCACATCCTGTAGCGCAACTACAAAGACCAAATATTGCACCAGCAACGGCACATGGCGGGTGGCACACTGAATTCATGACTCAACAACGAGGGCCTATGTCACAGGCCCAGCAAACCCCGCAAATGCATGGTGCCTATCAACCATCTTTTGCACCAAGCTACCAGATGTATGGCTCCTCCATGAATCAGATGCAGCCCTCGCAGGGCATGCAGACCGAGCAACACCACCATACGCAGCAATTTGACGAATCTGCTTTTGAGGCTGCCTTTGATCAGGCCCGGGCAGACATGGAGTTGCAAGGAGTCGATGTTGCTCAGCAAGATACCCAGAAGCACTTGCAGGAGACTAACGAAGTCGACATTTCCGAGCCAGTCACCCAAGAACAGATTCGACTCGGATCGGATCTTATTCCCCAAAGTGACAAGCAGAATCCAGAAACACGGAGTCGAGATGCAGATGAACTTGCGCGGACAGCAGGGCAACTGCTCGACAGCGTGCGCAACGAACAAAACCAAAAATTCCAACAGAGCAATTTCCTGGCTTTAATGCGCCGGATTCGAGATCGCGAGGTGGAAGTTGAAGGAGATGATTTCCGCGAAGTCAGTACCAACCCGTAACGGTTTGGATGTCGGACGCGACAGAAACACCGGTATAACTCGGGCAATCTACAAGGGCTGTTGTCCTCGCTAATAAAGATTTGCAGACGGCGCAATCTCTGCACCCAGGTGGGCGATACTACCCGGGCCAACCCCGCCCAGACCACCCTAGTTCCGATATCCCGTCTAGCAATAATGGGCCAAACAACCCTATCGGTAGGGTCTGATGCCCTGTGCCCATGAAAGACCAGCCAATAACCTGACCAGACGTGCCAACTTCCCAGATGATGTAGGCATTAGCAGAGATTCCCGACCGACCGAAGAAGGAACATCCGATCATCTGGGATCCAGTTCGTTTGGTTATGGTGACACAAACGCACTCTACGAAGGATTGCTCCACAGTCAGGGGCTTGTGGACCGCCGCAGCGTTCCGATTTGCTTTTTGGGAAGAGAATTGGAGGCGCATTTTCTACACTAGCGAAACCATGGTACTTTATGTATAGGTACCTTCTTGATTACGGCAGTACCTACTATGATTTAGGTACCTGGTACATAGTTTTTTGATCCTATTGATACCCCCATGAACAATAGCAATCACGTGATCCCTATTGAGAACAATAGAAGTCCATTGAAGGCTCCCAATTAGGCAAGTCAATGGCCCCTGACAGCCTCTGATTGGCTGTCTATTGATTGTCTATTGATTGTTTCTTTCCTATTGTTTGTGCCCCATTCAAACGAACAAACACTTGACCTTAAATACTCAGACAACCGCTGCTGCAATTCTCTTCTTCACTCTTTGGTCATATCAGTACAAACGCTACTAAAAAAATAACATAACCCCATTCACAATGTTGCCTCCGTCAGACTCTTTGCGACACCATCTACATAAGCTCGCTGAAGTCCGGGCAAATCGCAATACTTCTTCTATATCTACCTCTACACCTACCTCTACTTCCACTCCAGGCGCAGCCCCTCCTCCATACACGTTGTCTGTCACCAGACCCAGTGGCACAACTGTCATGAGCGTCGATCAGAACGACATGGACGACCCGTGGGCCTCCCCAATCAATATTTACATTGACAACTCAATCACTGTGACTGGTGATGAAAACACTATCATGATGTCGTCTCCTGGGGCGGATTCTACCACTGACCCAACTCAAAAAGAGGCCCAGGGATCCCCTCGCCTGAGCTCCATCGCGGCTGTCATCATCGCTGCACTGAACCGCGCAAATGTCCTCCACGATGATACGGGATACCCCCGGCCCATCAACATCCGCGCTCTCGCGGGCATTAGGGTGAATGGCCGGAATAACACCATTTGCGTCGGGGGTGAGGTCCACAAGTCTCAGAATGAGATTGCTGACGCCGGAGCTGGAGAAAGCAACGGTCGCAAGCGTCGTGCCAGCTCGGTTCGTACTCTACTTCGTAAAAAGATCTTCAAGAAGTTTAATCACTGACTAGCTTGGTTCATACAGGAGCCTGTGGGAGCTCCGTCGGCTCAGCGCCCCCGTTCGTCTTGAGAGATTATGAGTTGCTTCGTGAGAAGCTGAATGTTTTATTTTTTTGCTTTCAATCACCTTAGAATGAGATCGCTTTTTGCTTCTAGTTCTCTCGGAATTTGGTCACTTTTTACTTTTGGTTTGCTTAGGGGAGTTTGCCAATCTTTCGTTTGCTTGTTATGGGTTGATATCCTGGTCCTTTTTTAATGGATCCTTTGTACATTAGATGACTATTTTGTATCATTCCATTTATTGTGGTTGATGTCTCTTCTTAATTTACGATGATGAAAGCGATGAATGTAGATTTGAACCAGATAGATTCGGCATTTGGGGTCGGTGCTATAACTACAGTGGTTGTGTTCATGTCCTGAATCGGCCAAATATGTCGATGGTTTACTCAGCTTCTACTAGTAGTTTTCCAGCTTTTTCAACCATTAATCCATCTCGTAGGCGACCATCCATTTGGATGTTCCTCGCTCGTTCTGACACTCTACTTCAAGCAGCCCTGGAGGTCTGTCGAGACTATATAGAAATAAGGTATGTGTCAGCCTTACACCCCGTCCCGGTTGTTGGGGAATTCCACTGGACTACAAAGCCTACGCGCAGGAGTTGTGGATATTTCTAACAATTTCAACACCGGTGAGTATGAATTTCAATTTCATTCGTATAACAACCGCTGATAGCTCTAACCATATACGACGTTTGAATCATTATATAACCGTTGCTTGCTTGAGCATTTCCCATCACTACAATATTGACTAAAACCTGAGTCACGGAGGAGGACATCTTCAGCAAGCTGTACCTTGCCTTTCATAAGCCATGATTGTGTATTGAGGGATGAACGCCACCAAGCTAGGCTGTACAACAACCACATAGGTGGATTTTCTAAGTGAACGATTGCCTTGATTGGTTCGATCAACACTCAAGTCGATCAGATATTCCGGCCTTTATAAAACTCAGCAGACTAGCGGTGTGGAAACTCCCAGTGTATCACTGCAGCTCTCCGCAGCGGGATCTCCCAATGATAGAAGCAGATCGAAGCTGAATGCGGAGTTCAATATATCCACATAGATGTATGTATGTATGTATGTAATATGGTGGATCACATTGACACATTGACACGATGACAATACTACTAATTTAGCGTCCAGAGTGGAACTGATCATCCACTATGGTATGGGGAAACTAATGAAGTGGCGACCATGAATGGTCTGTGGAGTAAGCCGCAAAGTCAGATTCATTTCTTCTTCCCATATTGTGATTTGAACTAAATAAGGTCTCAAGTGAATAACTTGGTGACTCAGTTGAAGCTCGACTTCAATATGAATTTGCCGAAATATGAGCATCCACCCGAGACACAATGTCCGCGTGAGTAGGAACCCCAGGGCTATTGTTATATGATTGGGGTTGAAGATTTGGACTAACCTCTGCTAGTGAAATATGCGAATATTGTCACTATCGATCTTTCTGAATATGATCGTCCGGGAGGAAAAGAAAGACTGGCACAGAAATTCAAACAATATGTGCACCAAGTTGGTATTGCTCACACGACCTCCCTCAAACAGAGAGATGTTGACAGATAAAGGCTTTTTTTATATTACCAACATTGGTTTATCTCAGGAGGAGATAGATCTCCAATTTGCCATTGCAAAGGCACTTTTTGAACTACCCGAAGAAGAACGACTGAGACACCGTGCTCCCTTAGAGGAGGGTAGCTACAATGGCTACCGTCATTTAGGAGCACTAAGTCTTTCCCCTGGGATGCAAGACACGCTGGAATTTTACAGCATCTTCAAATTCATTCCCCAAAGCGAGCGATCACATCCAGACCTGATCAAACAATACTCCACGGAGATTGAGAGATTCTCTCGCTTCATGCACGAGAACGTGTCCTTCAAGATCCTCCGAATATTAGCGACTATGCTCGAGCTACCGGAAGACCAGTTCGTGGATGGTAACCGCTACGAAGATGAATGCGATAGCTCTATCCGCTATATGCTATACCATGCTCGGTCCCAAGAAGAGAACAAGACGTTTGACGATATTTATTTTCGTGGACACACAGATAAGGGGACGATGACGTTCCTATTCCAGCAACCAATAGCAGCACTACAAGTGCAACAGGCCAAAGATGCAACGTGGGAATATTTAAGGATTCCCGCTGGCTCTGTCGCTGTCAACATTGCCGACACACTTCAGTTCCTCACAAATGGGTATCTAAAAAGTGGCTTTCATCGAGTTATAGCGCCACCGAAGGATCAGATGCACCTCGATCGATTAGGCTTGTTATATTTTGTGCGTCCGACTGACAAGCTGCGATGGAAGACCCTGAATAGTGCTTTCTTGCAGAAGGAAGGTTATGGCAAAACCACAACCGAGAATGACCAGGATGTTTCTGGGTTGGATTGGTGGAGAGCTGGGGTCAAGGCTCGCAAGGGAGCAAATTACATCAGTTCTGCAGCAAGCACAACCTAAGTGTCGAATGAATATGTCTAGGATAATCTATCCAGCTACATTAAGTTGTATATATTATCAAGATGACAGCTCTAGAAAGAACGGGGAAACCTCAATAGTCCTACATGGGTTCTACTACTGGATTTTGTTGACTTGCCAGTTTGCGCAGGCCCCTCAGCTGAATTGAGTACAAAACTGTATATAGCAACATTATTCTAATCACTACCCATTACAAACATCACAGCTAACTTTCTAATCCCGGTACGCCCTTGAGGTCTCAGTGACCTCCATTTCCGTGGAGGTATTGTCATCATCCGAACCTAGTTTTCTCGCGGTGAACTTCAGACCAGACATCCCATAAATCGAAATGGCGACCATTCCCATAATCGCGCAAATACAAGAGAATACAAGAGCTGTCACGATCTGCATGTTATCACATGCCAGAGAGATCGTTTGTTTGCTTTATTTCCTTTGTTCTTCGAAGTGCTACTATTCCTAATTGGGAAAGGGGTTTGTTTGCATTATGGGATAGCTCTGCTATAAGATCCCTAGGATTTACCACTTGCTCTCTCTCTCCTTCTTCCCCATCTTTGCTTTTCTAGTTTGAATGCACTCTTTCTTGTTGATTGACCTGGCACGTAACAAGAGCGACAATTCCATGGGCAGTGAAACCCTCTGGGATGAATCCGGGGGGCTTGTTCTCTCCCTTCATATTGAGGTAATCCTCCGTGTTGGCAGCGGCATTGCCCTCGTATGGCACGCCGACAGCCTCGCAGACCTTGATATGATCATCAGGAATGACGAGGTTATCTTGGAGCTCACGAGGAGCCTCGATGAACGTCATTGGGAGACCTTGCGTCATGTGCCAATCAACGTGGCAGTGGAAGATCCAGACACCGGGGTTGTCAGCGAGGAAGCGGATGACATAGTATCGCCGGGAGGAAGGACGAAAGTATTATGAGCTGCGGGATAGACGGGTAACTCGGTGTGGTTGGAGGGATCAAATGTGGCGAATTCGGTTCCGGCATCGTAATCGTAAAAGTTTTCGCCGTACGATGGGAATCGACCCAAGAGTTGGAATGCGTAACCGTGCAAGTGGAAGGGGTGAGTACCCGAGTCTTGGTTACTGAGAATAATCTCCACAACATCGTCTTTCTCAAGAATGACGGACTGCGTATACTCGCTGTACACTGTCGCATCAGTTGCGAGGTTACCAGCGGACATAGCGGTGTAGAGTATGGGGACCTTTGGCTTAGTGTAGCTGGGGTAGTTTAGCGACGTATCCCATGCCGTTGTCGAGATTGTCCATGACCAGAGTGAGTTCAATGGTCTGCTTCGGGTTCTTATACAGCTCCACACGATCATGTGGCACGAGGGTCATATCGTCGAAGGGGTAGAGATCCGACGAGTCTTCCATGGGCAATCCCACGTCGTTGTGAGGAGCACTAGGGTTGTACTCGAGCCAATTCGTTTGATTGAGCAAAAGATCACGCGTGATCAAATCAAGAAGAGACGAATCGGCCACCATAGCCATACCAAAGTTTCTTTCGGTAGAACTCTTCATGGTAACCAAGACAGAGTAACGCTGGGCAGCAGAAAGGTACAAAATGAATGCTTCCGTCTCATCGACATAGATACCATCAATTTCGACAATGCGCATTTCGTGGTCTTCTACCCAGAAGTATTGACCCATAAAGGTAGCGATATTGATTAGTCGAAGGAGGTAGGTCTTACCGGCCTCAACAGGATAGCTTTGGCTGACCGAGTTGTTGAACAGGAAAGAGTTGGGGATGGGCTCAGCTCCAGTAGGGTTGTACAAGGACATGAACTCAGGTCCTATGTCCTCGGTCATGTCATGGTACCAATCAGTTATTGTGAGGACCATCTCTTCATCGTAGTCATTGTAGAAGGAGAACTCCTCATCCTGGAAGAAGAAGGGCGCTCGGTAACCATCCGGATAGCAGTAACCCGTGTGACAGTGATACCAATATGTGCCGTTCTGATTGACCGTGAAGTTGTAGGTCATGCCTGACCCTGGAACCACTAAACACTGCGTGACCAAGGAAGGACCGCCCATGTCGTTTGTTCCGTTCTGGTACATTCCATGCCAGTGAATGGATGTGGTTTTGTCGCCGATAGCGTTGTGCATCTTGACCACTAAACGGTATCCTTTGTTCACATCAACGGTTGGGAGAGGCCATTGATCATTGATGCCAATGACTTTACGTTCAGCAAGGCTATCTGGATTTGCCATCACCCATGTCACATTCCAGTCAGATATGTGTGTCACTGCCTGGTAGCATCTCGATAGGAGCTGGAAAGCTCCCAACAGAGCAATGGAATTCCGAACTTTGAAGTGCAGAACAGAAGCTGTCCAGAGAAACGAGGAGTTGTTCGGGGAATCGTCCTGGGTCCTGGGTCCTGGGTCAAGGTATAGCTATTGTAATCCCCCATGGCCTTTTTTTCCCGCTTGCTGTCCAATCTAATTTCCCGACCTTTCCGACATGGGTAGACTTGGCAAGTTCATGTCTGGGGCGTCAAATAGGCGTTGGGTTGAATATCGTGGTGGAGTCTGAAGGAGTCCGATTCATATCCGGATCTTGTTTCCTAATCTGATCAAGGGATTGGGAGATATTTCTCACGAGAGTCACAAAGTCGGTACTGGTTATCGCCCAGGTCTCCGAACTGATAAAATGCCAACCACGCGATCATATTCCACCAGGCACACTTCGTTACCCACTTTGCAGCCCACTTTTTCCCTTTCCCTTAAGTCCGAATATGGGAAAAGCTTTCATTGCCGAGACTTCACTTGCCAAGGATTCTTTCATTTAAATTCGCTGTTGGATATCATTGTTATACATGTCGACAACATCAAGCATATGCATCAGGCCCCTATTGTCCCAGCAGCCATGGAGGTATCCGAAGTAGGATAATATTTACCAATCCTATTCTTTAAAAAGCAATTGCCGTCCTGTCCGCCATCATATAAAGCTGTCAAATTTGCAGAGTAGGTGATCCCCTTGCATTTATCGACATTCTCCGTGCTCCATTTCACACATTGTGAAATGCAGGACTTCAAGGTATATTCAGTGAAGCTCCTCAAGTCTCCGACTCTTCCGTTGCCATATGCTGTTTCAATACCACCGGGCCAATCAACAGCACATAGTAATGTAAAGATCGATCCATCAGAGCCAGAGACTGTGGTGAGATTTTGACCAGGGCATGGTCTTGATGGATCTACCAGGGACCGAAGAAAGGAGGGAGAGAGTTTATTCTTATGGGAAGCAAGCTGCCCGACTATCTCTCTATGAAGGATCCCCGGGGCACTTCAATGTCAGCCTACGGGCATCCAATACAACACATGGATTTAAAGCTATATCTGAAGTGCCTGATGTGACGGCCGCTGATGATGTTTCGGAGACCATGGTCACCGTGGAAGTCTCTGAGTGGGAGGATGTTGTTGTTGGTGTTGTTGGTATTGTTGTTGTTCTTGTGGCTGTTGTGGTTGTTACAAGTGTTTTGAATTGTTTGTATGTTTTGCATCATTTGAGTGAGTTGCATATCACTCAGCCCTGGTGGCTTTGTTTATTTCCCTTGTCCATCTTATGTTCTGTATTTAGAAAGTCAAGAGGCTGAGCAACGTCCAAATCTCCTAACCCTTCACTGGTTTTATACTTTATCTTCTCAACCTAACTATACCCCAAACCATATTTACCTGCTTGATGTGTATCTGGGTCTACCTATAGGACTTAGCGTGGTCAAAACTCGCCGATGAGCGGTGATCTGAGCTTGTTGAAACGAGACACTGTGAGTACTAATACCTTATGTTACCTGGCGTATTTACTAAGAAATATAGGGAATGATGTCGACTGCCAACAATCCATCTGCCCCCCCTGCCTCCCATATCAAAATCATCGAGGTTCATGAGTATCTTCCTCCAGGAATTTCAAGAATAATCGATCGTGGTGGCGAGCACTTTATTGGTGTCATTGACGAGTCGACTGTCTTAAAATACCCTTCCGCTCCAAGCAATCGTGAAAGCTTTCGAGTAGAGGCTCAACTTCTCGAAACACTTGGAAGTCATCCTAGAGTGGTCGCCTTCAAAGGGCTGACTGAGCATGGTCTCGCTCTACAATATGCCCCAAATGGTAATCTATACAACTACATGACCTCGGACCCAACCCTTTCACTCGACAAAAGGATTTATTGGTGCAAACAAGCTGCGGAAGCAGTCAGCTATATCCATAGCAAACGTGTCATTCATTGTGATATCAGTCCTCGGAATTTCCTTCTTGATGAGAGCTTTGATCTCGTGCTTACAGACTTTCAAGGAATGTTGAAGTCGGTTGATGGCAAAACGCTATTAGATGGGCTGTCTCGTGAGTGCTCGAAGTCGTTTCGACCTCGGATTCACGGGGACTATGAGGATGTGTATACTGATATTTTTGCACTTGGTTCTGCGATCTATTTCATTATGACCGGGCACGAAATCTTTCCGGATCTGAACAGCTTCGAGGACGACGAGGAAATCCTAGACCGGTTTAAACAGGGGAAGTTTCCAACCGATGAGCAAGAACATATTTGTTATTATATCACAGACAAATGCTGGAAACAGCATTATCAGTCCGCTGGAGATGTTGTTTTGGATATTATTAAAATACAGGAAGGAATTGGGAAGGCGCATCAGGATCCAGCATAGAGTTGGTTCCCGTCAATGACATCAGTTGAGTAAACAATTGTTTACTCGTCTCTGGAACGATTGTTTCCCATTAGAACACGTTACCCTTTGTCTGTGTCATATTCTTGACGTTCAGGTTTTTCATCATGCCAACCCAGATGAAGCCCAAAACCATGAATGCGGTACCAGCTGCAAGCATCCTTGGTTGGGCATAGCCGTAGGCTTCCACAATGGCGTCTCGCTCAGGGCTTCCAACTGGATAACTGAGCTGCTGGGGAAGACTTGAGTAAATGAGAGACAAATTGGGCATGGCTGATTCTGGCAGGGTTTCCGCAAGTTTTTTCAAGAACGTGTTTGTCCAAATAGCTCCACAGATTGCACTGCCAATAGATCCACCGATACTTCCCATCACGAAAAGCAAGGCAAGTACTGCGGCAACGTGTTGGTGATCGACCGAAGCAAGGACGGCAAGCTGCACACACAGAATGAAAACGCTGCCGGCGGCGGAGAAAAAGACCTCACACATGACAATGTATCCAATGTATCCACCAGGTTGACGGAAGTAAATCATTAGACCGAGTCCAAAGATGTAGAGCGGTACACAGACCCAGAGAATCCACTTATAGCGACCCGTCACTCGGATGAGCCAGCCAGCGAAGAACAAGAAGACAAACGCCACGACACTGAAAGTGTTTCCAACGTACCCAGCTGTGGCCACGTCCAAATTATATACCACTTGCAAAAATGACGGGAGATAGACGGCATAACAATAGTAAGATATCTGATATGTCATATCTAGGAGACATGCGCCTAGAACGGTCCTATCGGTGAGGAACTTATAGTTCAGGAATGGCACTGGGGCCAGGTAAGTCTCATAGAAACCAAACGAGATGAGTAGGACCAGCCCAACCACAATCATGGCAATGATATAGCCGGTTTGCCAACCATGGGGTGCCATACTGGCCAGAGTGAATGGCAGAAGGAATACCACCATGCCGCTAGCGAATAGGAAAACACCCATTACTATTTATCGAGAAAAGAATTAGCACTATCGCAAAACCCCGATATGGTGACTCACAATCAAACTCTTTAATAAACCACCAAATTGTTTCGAAGTTAAAATTCCAGGCCTTTCTTTCCCTGACGAGGATCCCTTCCCTCTCGGCTCTGCGTAAGTTATAGGCCAGCATGAAATATATCGGCAAAGCGAAAGCGGGCAAGATAATTGCCCAAACTCCGTAGCCCCATCTCCAATTGACATTAGCGAGAAATCCTTCAGCGGCCTTAGATCCAGCAAACGCTGAGATTATTGCCGGAGATGACGTAAAAGCAAATGCCAACCCTCGATTTCTCAAGTTTGTCACATCGGTTGCGAGAACATTCCAACTGTAGGCGAGACCTCCGAATCCGACCGAGTAGAATACCTGCAGTTAATAGAGGTGTTAGATACTTGTAGGAATGAAGGCGTGGCAGTTAGGTCCCATCTTACCTGTCCAGCGCAGTAGGTAGCTAGGTTATGGGATGCAGCCAACATGACTATTCCCAAGATACAGAACCCAGTCATTAGAAGAATACCTTCCGCACGACCCCAAAGGTCCAGAGCTTTAGCCATAGGAATATACACTGCGCCTGTCATTGAAGATGCCACGATACCGATGACGGTCAAAAGCGAATGACCCGCGAAAGAGCTTGTCGCATAGGCGCTTAGGCTGTAGACGACGGAAGTCTTGAGATTGTTCACCAGTGTGAGAAGCCAGATACTGTTGTAAAAGGGCGACGTGAGCTAGCTGATCTGCTAGGACCAAATAACGCAACGAGGGCAGGGACACATACAATATCAGAACCATGAGCATGGATCCCTTTCCCCAGGCCAGAGTAACAGCCTCAATCTTCTGAACACCAGCTTGGGCATCTTCAGCAGGCCTGGCTTCCTCCTTGCCAGTCAAGTCATCGATGGGAGCATGTCCAGCTTCCTTGTCGTCGGCTCTCACCTGCAGGGTAATTGGGTCATCAACTGAGGTAACCTCAGTCTCTGCAGACTTGTTGCCAACTATCCGATGGAATCTGCTTATTATCGCCATCTTTTCTTCGCAGTCAAAGAAATCACACGTTGGATGCGGGACAACTGATTCAAAACGAGAGAGGAGCTAGACATTAAATATCACATGTTGAGTCAGACGCTCTAACGTATTTACGTTATAACGTAAGAAATACAGATTAAAAATGAGAGAAAATTGGACCATCAATTGCCGACGACGGAATACCCAAAAGGGTTGTCCCCCCACAACGAAAGGTTTAGCAAACAAAACATAATTACGCCTAGGCGTTTGATGCTAGAACGAAGTATCGATATTAGTATGTACTCACTGACCCACCAATAAAACCCATACTTTGTATCCTTCCTTCCAGGATGGTTTGCTTTTCTTCCCATTCAGTCGGTGCGGGCAGAAAAAACATGATATTGGGGGTTGTTTGGTGCCATTACACCGATTTATTTTGCCGTGTCTCAAAACTCGAGATATGGCCAAAGCGCTGGTCTTGCATTTGCCAAGTGGCTCTAAGACAAAATGGATCAAGTTACCTTGGCCTCAAGCCTAAATACCAAATCCTCCGAGCTGGGCATCAGATAAGTGACATAGCGGGTGGCGCGGGCGTCACCATAGGAACATTCTGTGCCTTAACGAGATACTGCACATGAGATATCCTAAATTTAGCCTGTTCCAAAGAATATTCTGAGGCTTTAGTAAATTGAAAGCGTGATGAATGTCACCATTTTTCCGTGAAGCCAAATAGACGAGCCTCAGTTCGGTCGAGGGGAAAATTAGCCCTAAAAAGTCCGATGTCGGAATTGACAATATCAAACCTTGGACTAGGTATCAGTGAGAGTGCACAGACAATTTTGAATACAGCTGAGAATAGCCAGGCTGAAGATTGCTACTGGCTACATATGTTGTAATATGTATGGTCAGGCCGCACCTGTCGAAGTTGGGGATAGCATTCGACGCGGAATGAACTGAAGGTTAGCTAAACAACATTGCTCGTGCAAAATTTGCAATCATGATTCACTCAAAACCCATGTGGAATTAAGTTTTCTAGCTTAATAAATGAAATGCCGGCTACCTACTAGTTACATCGTCCTACGTATCTATGTAGGTATTGACCGTACCGTATCAGTATGGAGATCAGATTAGATCCGGTGAGCGGTAATCTCCGGGGCTAGCCTCTTTGGGTATTTTAAATTGAGGCCGGGGGCTGCTCACCCGGGCATACCTATTTGTGCAGTCACGCACGACAGCTAGGTCTCAAAGGAGTTCATCATATTTAAGTCAAAAGCCTGTTAAATTTGACAATCAACTGCTGTCCTATATATCTGCAGAAGTAGACATGGAAAGAACATCAACAAAAAGTCAGGCTTTCAATCCACGAGCTTACTGGGGTGAATTCTGGACCCGGAGCCAAGCCGAGCCCAGCCCGAACGCTTCCGTATTCTCGTGGATAGACCATGGCCCCCAAATCCCTAGATGGAAACCCCTTTTACTTTGCCCCAAGTGATAAACGGTAATAATCTGGAGAACATATTCCCGCCGATGTGTGCACTTCGTTTTATCAATCACCATTTCATCTGTGCATAGGTTTCATTTTCGATTCATGAAATTTCTCTATGACTGATGCAAAGGCCAATCTTCAAAGAACATCGTCAAACTCCGATTTGCCGAGCACAGCATCACACTTGTGTGCTCTTCCCCATCGAACTCATTCGCCAGGACAGTATGCAAGTGTTTGCAACCTCGCAGCATCCCGCAGAGATCGAGAGCATTGTCAGCCATTCTAAAATCTGAGGCCATTCTCTTTCTTGATTCATATTTTTCAAGAGGTTCATTATCCCACTGGTGAGGATTTTGCTCGACTGAGCCCCAGAAGACCATGAGCGAAGGCAATTTCTCTTCGAAAGGCTCTTTTTTCAGAAAGGCCTTCGCCTCCTGCAAAATGAATTCACTATTCCACCATATCGATGGACTGCTGGCCATATAACAATCAAATGACCTGGGGCGTGTAAATAACGCATGTAGTGCAAGCAATCCCCCATACGAATGGCCGTAGAGAGCTTCTCTAGAGATGGAGACCTGTGGAAATCGGGCCTTGACCGCGGGTCGCACTGAACTTTGAATGAAGTCAAGAAATACATCGGCGCCTCCATGTCCAGAGATTGGACTTTCTGTTGGCGGAGATAAATCAAGGGTGCGTCGTCGCATATCATAAAGCTCTCTGTTCAATGGGTATCCGATGGCTACGATGATGCCCCCACCAGCGAAATGCGACGCAGGTGCGCGACGCCAGGCGGCCTCGGTTGCAGTCAAGAATAGAGCATTCCCATCGACAATATATCTAATAACAGTTGGTAAACGCGCAATTTTCTTCTTCTCCAAGCCTGGGAAATCGTCAGTGAGCACTTACAATATGGGAAATGACCCGCGAGCAGAAGTGCTGTCACTGTGCCAATGTAGCGGCCAAGACACTTGAATCAGATACCTTTCACCCTGCTCGCTATTCAGGTAGAACTGCTCGGAATTGGGGAGCGGGACTGCGGTCGGCTTGGGTTGGCCCATCTTGATGCTCCAGTGAAACAGCCCTGACTAGCCTTCAGACTCGGAGATTCAAATATTTGGCGAAAAGAAGCTTGTGTATTATATGAAAATATTAGGAAGACGGGAAACCTCGAGTTAGAGTTGTTTTCGGCCCCGGTTTCGGAGATTGGAGACGCGGGTTTTAATATGTGGGTATTTATATGTACAGAGTAGTGTACGATGTGGTATTGTGACTATGTCATAGAGAAATTCGAGTTGATTGAAACATTTCTAATTCACAGGACGTCTTTTTTTCGCACATCTAACACATCTGTTAACGTGGGAATCAGTTACTGCATACTTGGTTACTGCATACTCAGTCGCTAGAGGCGCGACCTAGGTTCAACAACCTACCAACTCCACGATAAAAACTACGTGATAAAAACTACGTAATAAAGAGGACTAGATAATAGCTGAGACATCTGGGTAAAGATAGTGAGTTGTGTAAAAATAAACAGGGCAAGAGTCAGATCTTCTTTTGTTTTCCTCCACGGCTCTGCAACTTGTACGCTTTCTCGCCTTGAGACGTGTATCTCATCGCGTCACAATCTATTTTTGGCTCTCATTCTCATAGCTAATGGGGTCTGAGGGAGATGGAGTTAGCCGATGTCTTTCCATGGCTTCAAAGTGACCCAAGTGAAGGCTCTGAAATTTTGGGGTTGAATCCACCAATCTTTGTTTGACAAAGCCCTTCCTTTAACATCAGGTATAGCGGAGGGGGATTGCCCAGACAGAGCCCAAACAAGCAGCACAAATCCTGTTAAACATGAACGGAATAAGCCAAAAGCATATTGGAGGAATCGTCAAAGTTAGATCCACTGATTGTAAAAACACACCGAATTAGGCGTTTCAAAAGCAACGTTGAATGAACAGCATGAAAAAAAGAGTGTTGACCTTCCAAAACCATGCTCTGCCATCTTTGTTGTATCTTGTCTACGACCTGAAGCTCAAGCTTTCTTTGAAATAGCATAGTCGAGCCCTCCTTCCCGTGCGATGGGTTCGGCCTGCACAAAATGCTTGGAATACAAATACATATTTACCATCTGGATTCTGTCCTTCACATTCAACACTTATACGTGCTCAATATTTGATTTGCTAATTACATAGAGCAAGCACCACCTTGGTCGCAATTATCTTCTCTGTTTCAAGATGCCTCCAAGGGCTATTTTCCCTCGGGCCGCAAAACCTGCCGGTAAAGCTGCACCCAAGAAGCCCGATGGAAAACGCAAGAAAGGTGGCTTGAATGGAGATGCAGAGGCACCTCCTCCAAAGAAAAAGACAAAAAAGGAAATCCCGCAAGTCCTGGACGAGGAACTCCTTGCAGCCGATCTCAACATTGATTATTCGAAAAAAGGGAAGAAGCTGAGGCCACAAATGCCCAAGAAACAGCAATGGGGAAAGGTAAAAGGTGTCATCACAGAGCGGGAAAATGCACCTAAAGGCTGGAACCCAGAGGAGCCTGATCTGATGCCCGAGTGAGTTCTACCCGCTCTGGCTAATTTAACACTGGATTCACTGTTCATTTTTATACTTGGTAATTAACCTTTGCTATACAGTGACTTCGAATCCCAAATCGAAAGGTGTCTTGAGCGGATCGAAGAGAATATTATGCCTCATGTGTATCAACATAAAATGAACGAATTCATGGCAAAGCAGGCGTAACGCGAGTGAGTCATCTTATAACACCAAATTCCCTAATAAAGACTAATTTGCTCCCTTCTAACCAGTGCACTGATGGGTACAGAGCCAGGTTTAAGTTGGCCCGTTGTACAACGCCTAGATGATCTCAAATTTACGTTGAATTGGCTCGTGACGGGAAACGACGAATACAAAATGGTCGATACGGTAAAAGCCATCATAGCACACTATCGATCATGCGAATTAGATTGGAATCCGGACTTTGTCACCTACTGGCATGCTGGAGTTCAGCTCTGCCTGCCGAGACCTTTCTACTGGGATGAATATCGCTACATTCACGACAAATGTGAGGGACATGTAGGGTTTTGGGTCGAAGGTGTCAGTCTTGTCAAAAGCCCTTAATTGCATCAATAAACATACTAAAACCGAATATTCAGGTTCTCGGGCATGCGCCTGGCATCAGCAAGACTTCGATGGTATGCCAGCCGGATCCGCGTGCGAATTCCACAATGGTTGCCATTCCCCTCTCAATTGCCCTATCGGCCACTCTTTTTGAGGGTTATTTCTGATAATCCTCTTTAGGTAAGACTTAGCCTTCGGATCCCGCAGGATCCACCGGTTGCAGTAAAAAAAGGAGACGATGGAAAAAACAGAAAAGATGGAAAAGATGAGAAAGATGAAAAACCACCACCCAGGCCACCGAGCTTTGAATTCCCGTTTATGGATGACACTGGCTCTACACATATGAGCATGTTTGAAGACGACATCAACCTTCTTCGGAATATGGGTGCAAACGATGGACACATATACCCCTTGCCCCGGTGCCTGGGTGTTGGAGTTCTTTATGTCGCAGATGGGAGGCGGGTCACCTCGCTATTTAGAGAATTAGAAGTCAACATGTGGAGTACAGATGAATCGGCTTGGATGTCCCCTTACTGGCAGGCGATACCGGCCTCTATTCAGAGTGGTCAAGCAACGAGGGTTGGCGCTGACCGTTTGAGTGGGTCATGGCTGCGACACAGATTTTACACTGGAACTTGTCCTGATCAGTCCATGCGTCTTTGGGTTTTTAATTATAACCCCGGGATACCACAGGGTCAGAGGACTCTTCCTACCGCAACCTCGGCACAATTGACGGCATCCTTCAGAATTGGAAGGCTTCATCCGGTTACAGACTTTCAAAGTTTGTTCTAATTTGCTGAAAGATTCGTGGTTCTGCCTTTCCTTATACATTTCAAATTTGTCTTCTGCTGTTAGATTTTTCGGTTCATTTCTTGGTCTTCGACCGACTTTATCTTCTTTGAACTCTTCTTGTGTTGCGGTATTTGCATTTTAGGTTTGTTTTTGACTATTACATTTTAGCATATACTACATTTAATATGTCACTTCGGCATTGCGTAATGCAGGCTTTTAATCTAATATCATGAACATAACATGGTAGATTACTCGAGTCTAATGGGTATTTAGCCATGTCCATGGGGCGAATCTAAAATATTCTAAACGCAAATCTCGGCAATGACTCCGAGTATGTAGCGATAGATGCCAGTAGATGCCATGCAATATCTATCTCTATCTCTATTAAATGTACCATTCAATACCTCCTCGTAGTCTGAGGTTGGAGAAGAGATACCGGAAGTGAGATGTATTCGCTCTACGAACAGAGACCAGACGCAAAAAGGTAAAACGGAGGAAATAGCAGAATATAGCCCACTACGTAGTACCTAACACATATGTATTGCTCTCTAGAATTCTAGATTCTCTACATACTCGGGCTCATATCTCCCGCCGAAAAGGTTAACCAAAGACAACCTCCAACAGTGAGGATGGGTTTCGGTACCCTACGAGTAGGAGCTGGACCCTTTTATTCCATTAAAGGCTGAGTGCAGACCCAGACCCTCTTTTGATAGGTTGTATATAATGTCATAATCAATACAGAAGTCTTAGAGTCAACGGTTCTGCGGGGTTAACATTTATTTGCCTCGGTTATCTCTGGCATCGTCAAACCACCATCGCAAGTCCTCATTCATCCAAGCCAAAAAGTGCACAATATGTCATCATTTGTGACTACCGTTGAACCGAAGCCGATCGTTTCTGCCCTAAACACAGAAACAAGTGACAACGGTGAAGTAAACAGGCTGCATCGCATTCCTAGGCCCATCAGCAAAGAAGAAGAGCGACAATGGCTTCTCGAGCAGATGGCGGGCGCTTTTCGCATATTCGCCAAACTGGGATTCTCAGATGGTAGCAGTGGCCATATCAGTCTCCGAGGTATGCTAACTTTTTAGATCCCTCGTACTCCGACAATCTCGTTTGTTCGTTTAGATGTTCTAACACTCCAAAGACCCCGTCGAACCCCGCACATTCTGGATCAATCCATATGGAGTACACTTCGCCCTTCTAAAGGTCTCTGATATGGTACGGGTAGACGAACAAGGAAATAGGGTCGCTGGAGCAAATAAGCCGGTCAATACAGCTGGGTTCATTATTCATTCAGCAATCCACCAGAGGCGACCCGATATCCATGCGGCGTGTCATATGCACAGTCCCTTCGGAAGAGCTTGGAGCACTTTTGGCAGGGGAATTGACATGCTGAATCAAGGTAAAACCAGCGCATGATCAAAACCCACATTCCTGCTGACCATGTTTTAAACTTTAAGATTCTTGCATGTTCTACGACGATCTTTCGGTATATCCAGCTTTTGGGGGCGTTGTTTTCGCACAGGAAGAGGGTCAACGTATTGCTGATTATCTTGGCCCCAAAAACAAAAGTTTGATAATGCAGAATCATGGTTTACTTACTGCTGGGGGAACAGTTGCAGAAGCGGCAGCCTTTTTTATTGCATTAGAGAGGGCATGTCAGACTCAGATCCTGGTGGAATCTTCGACAGCACCTGGGTCGATTGGTGCAAGCGAAGGAGTCTTGAAGAAGACATTGGTGGATGATGAAGTTGCACTCTACACCAAGAAAGGAACAGGTACTCCTGAGGTCATGTATATGCAATTCGAACCCGAGTACCAATTGGTTTTGAAGGAGACAGGTGGAGAGTTTTTGAATTGAAGGAGGGCGCTGGAGAAATTATGCTGCATACTTTGTGTGATTGTGACGTTCTTGGCTGGGCTTATTTTTGTTCTCAATGTTTTAGGGAGGATGTAGTGCCCTAGAACTAGATATAATCTTTGGGGACCTACAATTTGTATACCTACATTGCCTATCCACTCTCGGTATTGATTGACCATTTTATACTCCTCAAAGGGATACTGTCACGTGAGCGGATTGTGGGGTAAGGATCTCAGGCCCTTCTAGATTAGTATATTCTTCGTAGCCTCGGAGGAAGAATATTCCGCAAGGGAGTTTCCCCGGTCATATATATAACAGTCCAAGCATGTCACTCAATGACACTTACATTCTACTACATACATTTGCTTCCTCCACTCGCTTACAACATAACTACGTAACCTCACAGGGCTGGCGTCCATGACTAACGGTCTATCTTATGTATGGACAATAATAAATATTAACCATGGTGACAATTTACACATGCGCTCATGATTCATGCTTATCTATGCGCACATTGCGCACATAGCACCGCACAAGCCTGGCGGTACGCTTATTATTAACAAATTGCACGTCATTGACTTGTCAGACAATAAGGCTGTTAGTGATAATCATTCTCACGTTTATTAACACAGATCTCTGGTGTCTTCCTTGACATGAAATCATTACCTTTCTTCATCGCGAATTGATCATATCTTAAAATCTACAACTCTTATATCTTTGTCGGATCCCCGAAGTCACCACATCAAGGGATTGGCTTCCCTATATATCGTGCAACATCTCCGCTCCAGCAGGGATACACAACATGGCATCAAAGTCGGGCGAAAAGAGCATTTCCGCCTATGGAGAGGCTCGTTCAACGGTGGAAGGGAAGCCTCTGGATGCCGAGACAATCCGCAAGATGAATGCGTGGTTTCGTGCCAGCATGTACCTATGTTTGGGCATGCTTTATCTTCGCGACAACCCACTCCTCACAGAACCTCTCAAGCTAGAGCATCTCAAAGCTCGACTCTTGGGTCATTGGGGTTCTGATGCCGGACAATCTTTTACCTGGATGCACATGAACCGACTCATCAAGAAGTATGACCTCGATGTTCTTTTCGTTTCCGGCCCCGGACATGGCGCCCCTGGAATCATATCACAATCTTACCTTGAGGGTGTCTACTCGGAAGTCTACCCGGATAAAGGCAAGGATACAAAGGGCATGAAGAAGTTCTTCAAACAATTCTCTTTTCCTGGTGGGATTGGAAGCCACGCGACCCCCGAGACACCTGGCAGTATCCACGAGGGAGGCGAGCTGGGATATTCACTCTCGCATGCGTTTGGCTCGGTCTTTGACAACCCCAATCTCATTACTTTGACCATGGTTGGAGACGGCGAGTCCGAGACCGGCCCACTTGCAACCAGCTGGCACAGCACGAAGTTCCTGAACCCGATCAACGACGGAGCAGTCCTGCCTGTTCTCCACCTCAATGGATACAAGATCAACAACCCGACGGTGCTTGCACGAATCAGCCACGACGAACTTTCATCTTTGCTCGTTGGCTATGGATGGAAACCATACTTTGTGGAGGGAAGTGACTTCGACAGCATGCATCAAGCCATGGCGGTTACACTCGAGCAATGTGTCACAGAGATCAAGGAGCATCAGAAGAAAGCCCGAAAGTCAAAGACCCCGTTCCGACCCCGCTGGCCAATGATCGTTTTGCGCACACCCAAGGGATGGTCGGCTCCCCGGGAGATTGATGGCCATCTTCTCGAGGGATTTTGGCGCGCGCACCAAATTCCTATCACTGATGTCCGCACCAACCCCTCTCATCTTAAGGTGTTGGAAACATGGATGAAGGCCTACAAACCAGAAGAGCTCTTCGACAAGAATGGCACATTGATTCAGGAACTGAAAGAACTCGCGCCAACGGGTAACTCGCGAATAAGTGCCAACCCCGTTGGTAATGGAGGTCTTCTACGCAGTCCGCTCGATATTCCTGATTTCCGAGAGTATGGGTTCAAGGATATTGATCCTGGGTTGACAATCAAGGGAGGCATGGCCAACATGGCGATTTTCCTTCGTGATATAGTGGCTCAGAACATGCATAACTTCCGGCTCTTTGGGCCCGATGAGACTGAGTCTAACAAGCTTTCTGAGGTGTACAAAGCAGGAAAGAAAGTCTGGATGGGGGATTACTTCGAAGAAGATAAAGACGGAGGAAATCTGTCCCCCGATGGCCGCGTGATGGAGATCCTCAGTGAACATACCTGTGAAGGGTGGCTGGAAGGCTACCTTCTTTCTGGGCGGCACGGACTGCTCAACAGCTATGAGCCTTTCATCCACGTCATTGATTCTATGGTGAACCAACATTGCAAGTGGATCGAGAAGTGCCTTGAAGTAGAGTGGAGAGCCCGAATCTCGTCTCTTAACATCCTCCTCACCGCCACTGTCTGGAGACAAGACCACAATGGCTTCACTCACCAGGACCCTGGATTCCTCGATGTGGTGGCTAACAAGAGCCCCGAGGTGGTTCGCATCTATCTCCCGCCCGACGGCAACACCCTCCTATCCGTGATGGACCACTGTCTCCGCAGTGTCAACTACGTGAACGTGATCGTTGCTGATAAACAAGAGCACATTCAGTTCCTGGACATGGATGCAGCCGTCGCGCACTGTACCAAGGGTCTCGGAATCTGGGACTGGGCGAGCAACGACCAAGGCGCAGAGCCCGATATCGTGATCGCGTCCTGCGGTGATGTTTCAACACACGAGGCCCTAGCCGCGACCGCACTACTACGTGAACATCTCCCACAGCTCAAAGTCCGTTTTGTTAATGTGGTGGATCTATTCCGACTGATTTCCGCCATCCACCATCCCCACGGAATGCCAGATAGGAGATGGAAGTCCATTTTCACCACCGACAAGCCCATAATATTCAATTTCCACTCCTACCCCTGGCTCATCCACCGACTCACGTACAAGCGACCTGGTCAACATAACCTGCATGTGAGAGGGTACAAAGAGAAGGGCAACATTGACACACCGTTCGAACTGGCTATGCGCAATGAGACCGATCGATACAGTCTCGCTATGACTGCCATTGATTTGGTTCAATCTCTTGGGAACACGGCAGCTGGCGTGAGAGAGAAGCTGTTCAATGAACAGCTTGCGGGCAAGTCTGAGGCTTTCAATAATGGGATTGATCCTGAACATATTCGGAACTGGAAATGGCCTTTCTCGAAAGAGTAGGGTTTCTTTTTCGGTGTTGGGGATATTCATCAAAGGTTAACTATACCTACCTAGGTAGAAAATTCCATTTCACAAATCAAGCCTTTTTCCGCCTTGTTCTACTCCCTAGCAACCTAGAAAATATCTATAAAAACAGACATCTGAAAAGACTAACGGAGAAGAATCTGAGAAGACCACCAAAAAAGACTACTAAAAAAGACTACTAAAAAAGACTACTAAAAAAGACTACTAAAAAAGACTAGACAAGGCCGCATAAGCGGCTGACTATTCGTGTTAGTACAGATAAAAGTGACCCTCCTAGGTAGTACTCCGTAATACATTTTAAATTGCCCAGGTGAACTCGAATCAGAAGAGAATATCCCCAACATTGAATTACCCCAATTACCCCGGTCTCGTAACTACACTAATCCTCATCGGGTTACCATCCATGGATAAAAACAACCAGTCGTATTCCAGATGAATCACCAAATGAGTCATTGTTAATTGGAACTCTTCAAATAGCTGAGAATATCCCTTGATGGTTTCTCTTTCTACCCCGGATTCACCATTCAGCACACTGTAAATTGACTACTCTGCCATAATGTCCGAGGCCATCAATAACCATCAAATCAAGGCCGATATAAAGAAAGCCTATGATGATATTGCTGAAGTCTACCTGGACTGGACAAAACCTTCTCATGAAATACGCCTTTCCTATCTCGATCGCATGCTTCGATCCTTTGACTCTGCAAAGGAAAACCGCCAGATCAGCATCCTTGAGCTAGGATGCGGCGCTGGGGTACCGTGCACTCAACTGTTGGCATCGCGTGAATACATCAGCGTCACTGCAAATGATATATCCGACACTCAAATTGCCTTGGCAAAAGAGCGCCTTCCTGAGTCCGTGAACCTGATATCAGGGGATATGATGGAATTGGAATTCAGCCAGGAGCATTTCGATGCCGTGATGGCCATGTATTCCATTTTTCATCTGCCACGCAATGAACAAACTACGATCCTTCGTCGCATTTTTGATTGGTTGAAACCTGGGGGACGGCTTCTCGCGAATTTCCCCGAGACTGGATTTGAGAGCTCTTCTGATCAAGCTTGGTTGGGTGGCACAAAAGGGGCAATGCATTGGAGTGGCTGGGGTAGAAACGAAACGAGAAGACTTCTCACGGAGATTGGCTTTGAGATTGAGATTGACGAGGTTGCTGTGGATTGTGAAGAAGAAAATGGAGTTTCGCGGAGCGTTCCGTTCAACTGGATCTTAGCTAAGAAATGAGCAATGTGAAATACAGTAGAATCTTCATAAACTGGCATTTTGCTCTTAATCCCTCTGTAAAGCTGTTCGTTTACAGTAGACCTCCCTTCAACCCCCCACACGCTCCTCCACGCGATCTGCATTCGAAGGATCAAAGACGTGTTAAAACTTACCAGAACCTTAGTCCATAAGTGTACCACACTCAAGGCACAAAACCCTGTCTCTGGTTTTGGATTTTGGCAAGACAGCCTTGACCTATGGGCTCGCGATGGTGATTGTTGAGCATGTCCGCACGAGCAAAGGACACCAGACAACCCTCGCAGACCCAATCCTTTTCGCCCGAATGGATCTTCTTATGTCGATTGCAATCGTTCTTTCTGGAAAAGCACTTCTAGCAGATATCACACGAAAACGGACGATCCGCCTTGTGTGTCAACAGGTGAGACTTGAGATTAAAGAGCCTTTTGAAGTCCTTTGCACAATGTGGACACATCAAGTCTTGCTTCTGTTGAGTCTTCAGACGTTTCATGGGTCGGACCTCTGGCTCGGAGTCTGAGCTTGGTGGCTCTTTTGTGTGAGCTGGAACATCAGGTGTGGCTTGCACAGCTTGTGCATTCTGCACTTCAAGGTGCTTGATCGGCGCACGGGAAGGTTTATGCACCAATGAAAGAGACAGCTCGGTTATAAACATTCTGATACGCTGTTCCAACACGGGCTTAGGTTGACGCTAGGGTGGAGAGATTATGGCTCAGTTACTACACAGCTACACTAAGATGCCAAACCCATATTGCGGACAGAGTTGTATTCTCTGACGCTGGTTGCTTATCTCCGCGTTGTTCCACTTCCACTTCTGCATTGGGCTTAGGGCTTCGCCCAGGTGAAGACCAAATCTGAAGGGGAAGTTTATAAAACCATTGAAAGTGACAACTCAGTTATGATATCGATTAAGCTCAAAATATTAAGCTTGTAAATCCGTGGCGGCCCTAGTTACTATTACTCCTGGGTGCGATGAGGCTGGCCTATCTGCCACATAAGATGACTTGATGATACTTAACTTTAGAAGCAGATGGCATGAGCTGTCACCTAGCCTAGATGTAAAGGATAACTGTTTATACCTGAGCATCTTAATAAACATGCAGGCAAGATAATTTGTTGGGACCTTAGGCCACCATACACCTTGTGTTTATATTGCAACAATGTAGGTCGTTTAAACGTGCACCGCTGACCGCTGACTGGTGACTGTGGGGATGGATGCCCAACCAAGATAAAATTCCGAAATTATCTAATATCTCCTATATCACAAAAATACAGACAGGAAGTATGGAATTCCCTAAACCTCACATCCATCCTCCCCAAGCCCCCCACGCCCACACCCACACGGTTATCCTATTACATGGTCGCGGCAGTGATGGCCCCGAGTTCGCCGATGAGCTTTTCTCATCTTCAACCTCGAAAGGCAAAAACCTGCCCTCCTGTCTACCCTCCTATCGCTGGGTCTTTCCAACCTCACGCGACCGGTGGAGCACTACATTCGAAGAGGAGATGTGCACCTGGTTTGACGCCTACTCTTTAGGCAATATCCAGGAACGACAGGAATTACAGAAAGATGGAATAAGAGAGTCAGTCTTACACATTTTCGATATTCTCGAGAAGGAAGCTCGACTGCTAGATGGGCGACTTTCCCACATCTATCTTGGAGGTATGAGCCAGGGCATGGCAACTGCCTTGTGGGCGTTCTTGTCTGCAACTGCGACGGGCCGAATCCAAGGACCACTAGGTGGTCTTCTAGGCTTTTGTGGTTGGCTGCCATTCGCACAGCAGCTAGAGCAGTTGCTATCCGAGCCATCCCTTAGTCCTGGCAGCTCTCAGGCACAGAGTCTAATAACTGGGTTCTTCTTTGATGAGATTGCGGGGGAGATTTCGCGCTCTGATCAGTTTGTCGACAGTTCTATTTTATCTACACCTGTTTTTCTAAGCCATGGATCAGACGATCCATGGGTATCTGTGGACCTTGGACGGCAGGCATGCCAAGTTCTACGCAGGATTATGGTACACGTCGACTGGCAGGAGTTCACTGGCGCAGAGGGTGACGGTCACTGGGTTAAGGAACCTGAGGGCTTTGACCATATCCTCAAGTTCCTTCAAGGTTGATTTGTCTAGACAGGCTGCCAGCGGGCCATTTTGCGGGGGGTATTCGATGGCTATGCCTACATAGGTATGTAGGGAAGGCGCTTAATTACAGCCAAATGAAAAGGCCTTGACGAAGTTTGGGTCATGAAAGGATAACCTTGTCGAGTACAAGGGGCCAAAGAAGACAGAATGGGTGACCTTCATTCCAGAATATCCAATAAATGGAAGTGAAGGAGGTGCCTACCTCCACATGATCAGTTGTCTGTGGTGCCATCAAGTCGCGAGACAAAGGACAAAATAGGAAAGAAGGGAAACTTTTCATTCCGGGAAGATGCGTATGTTGGGAGTATAAACCCCCCCCCCTTCTCTCAATCCCCCTTCTTCCTCTTATCTAGAGCTCTTCTTCCCCTCCGAGTGACGCGGCTGGTGCCTAACAACTTGCAGAGAAATCAACATCAGCATGTTGAGGTTCATGGAGGTCTGCACCCACATCAAACTTTCATAAACTCAAGACTGAGCATTTAGGATGTGATACCTATCATCCCAAGTGTACTCAATGTCCTTTATACATATTGATATTAAGGTTCTTACAGTATTGGTACAATTCACTAAGCAACAAGGCAAATTTCATCTCTCTACATCCTGCAGGCCTGTAAGCTCTGTCTCATATCTTTATTCACTAGCTTGAGTATCATTTCGGCTCGATACAGATGGCCAAGGGGGATTTGGTGCCATTTGATCCAGTTGTATGTTGTAGTCCACAGGGGAGTGGTGTATAGGGTCTTGGGACTTTGAACTGGAATTGGACAAGGTAGACTATTCAGGCATCACATCCGGGCCGTTGGATCTGATCTGCCAAAGAAATGCACAAAGGGTATGTCTTAGGAATAGCAGCGGGGGATGGCTGCGGCGAAGCAACTAGAATTGCATGGGACAAGAATGAATATCCAAGATCGATTGTACCTGAAAGTGGAATAAATGTATCATTGTCTAGTCTCATTGAATGTCTACTCTGGTTCCTGGTAGCTCTTTGCCTTCTAGTCGTCCGCGCAAAGAACATACATCGATGGCAACAAAGACATTGGTTGAGAGAAAGATAATGATTCACATAACGCCCCTAGATTTTTCGGATAGAAATTGAAAGCAGATGCCTGCAACAGAACAGAAGGCGATACGCCGTGGCGCCGAGAAGGGAAATAAGAAAGGTGCAACAATAGCGGATTAGATGGTTGAGAAGGACACGGAGAAATAGATGGCGTGAAGTAGGTCATTGAAGCTTAAGATAGTACATTAAGGTGATGTAAGGAAAGATGGCGTTAATAATTTAGCCATATCGGCCGACGGGAACGTCGTGACGATGAAGATCCTTGGACCATTCTGGTGCAACCTTATCACGCTCGTAGAGCAGGCCACAGTTATGGCAGAGTGTCTAGAGAGGATGGTGGTTAGATACTGCTTGCAATACATTCTGGGAGCACTTACCCGTGGGCCATCTGGACCATCGCGCACAGCCCAAACTGCTGTGCCCCACACCGCACAGTTCTTGCATCTCCAGCTTTGGCGTTCCCTATAGGCAGAAATCATTAGTGAATATTCCAGCGAGATGTATCTAGCAGCCACATACCAGTCGGAAAGTGTGCCACCACCGCCACCATATCCAGCCCCTGATCCGGTATCAGGAGTTCCTCGGCCACCAGGAGTGCCACTTCTGCCTGTAGGGCTCAAGCTGCGGAATCGGCGCTTGCGCTTGTTCCTTTCTCCGCGTCCGAGCGGAGTCTCACTATCTACCTCAAAGTAATTGCCACTGTTCTGCCTTGAGATCTCAGGTGTGATGCCCGTGGTTGAAGAGAACCTGGCTGTTTCCCGGCGCAGACGTCGGATCTGACGCTCACGGTCACCTTCTCTCCGTTCAATTTCTTCCTTGGACAATGTCTCAACTTGAGGCTGCCACTCATCACAGATTGTTTCAGGGTCGTAACGCCAGCCGGCCTCCACGCCATTTGCTGCCAAATTTTCAATCTCATTGCCGTAGCCGTTGATGCCGCTGACAAGAGCACCGCTCTCGCAGACTTCCTTTTTGAACTTCAGGACTGCTTCGTAAATGGCATGCGCAATCGCACTGACCCACTCACCACCGAGGCTGAGATCTGCGCAAGTGATGCGCGCAAACTCTTCGGCCATGCCAGGTGGGTGTAGTAGAGACCACTCGAATTTGTCTGTGTACAGCTTGTTTTGCAGGTTGATGTTGAGGGTGATCAAGCACCGATATGCGTCATCTGGGTTCAAAAGGCTGTCATTTACCAGCGCTTCCTTGGTCACTGTCACAGTGGTCGTCACATTGGGCCGGCTATCAGGTGTCGTAACGTTGGCAGCAGCTGGTGTCGTTGGCGTGTCTGTTGGCGGTTCAGTCCGTGGCGTAATACTGGGCACCGTGCCTGCATCTGTGCTCTGGAAGAGTGGGTGGAGAGCGACACCAGCGTATTCCTCCAGCTGCTGTCGAATCTGGTTGCTGATGGTCATGGTCGTGGCTTGAGGATTTGGGAGATCAAGATCGCGAACGAATCCAATAGCAAATTCTTCAGGCGTTGAGAGTGATTCGTGGAGGTTCCATAAAAAGGTATCCTTAATGCGGAACGGGGGTAATGGTTCAGGTCTGCGATACGCAGGAAGAGTCTGGTTGATGCTAGGGTCCACGGCTGTGCGTGGGAAAGGGAATGGTTCGAGGGGTTGATGGGCGGGGACTTCGACGTCAATTCGGATTGGAACGAGTGTCAAGGGGAGTTGCGCTTGAATCTGCAGTTGATCGGCACACCTAGAATCACCGCGCTGTATGTTAGCCAGATTTAAGGATAGACGGGGAAGACAGAGGCCACTGTCGTTAATGGCCACATCAGTCCTGGCAATAGGGAACATACGCTGGTCGCAACATTCGCTTGATCATCCACTCGCGAAAGAGGCCTTGCACCTCCACTGGCGCATGCACTTCTTTGCCCAGCTTATCTGAGTAGGGAACCAACTTGTCGGTAGCGGATTCTTCGCGCCGAAGGCTCCTCAGTCCCGTCGGCCGGCGGGGCCCATCGTTCTCATCAAAATCCTCGTCATCAAAGCCATCTTCTGCGTAATTGATGGCTGTAGTTCCACGCTTTGTGGTGCGCGGAGTCGGGCCGGTCTGGGTTGGAGGATTGACAGGTGTGAGCAACGCGTTTCCATACTGGCGCATGCGCGGAGGGTAGGAACTGATATAGCCTCGGAGAGGGGACATGTTGGCGATTCAATTGCACAATAACATGCCCCTTCGAGGGTATGGGCTGGAGAAAAGAGAGCTTGCGATTGTTTTGATCGGCTCGATGTTCGAAGGGCTGATCACTGCAGTGAGGCACAATTGAGAATGGTCCAAGCGCGAGAAAGTTAACAACGAGTAGTTGTATGATGCCACAGCATAAAGTAAATGTGTGACAAAAATAAAGATCGCGTCAAAGGCATCCAGATAGGATCCAGCTGGAGAGATTGGCTTGAGATCGATATTCTGCGCGACTTTGCCCAATTCGACGCTAGTCCCATTCCAGGGAGGGGATCATGTGATTCATGCCTCAGGCCATAAAGCCTAGAAACCATTGTAGTAAAACAACAGGGGCATCAGTAGGCGTATCAATGAAAATCATCAATAAGATCATTAAATCGTCAATACGTCTAGGCACGAGCCTTTGCCCATTGTTCGAGCCATGGCTACGTGGTGGACTGGACTCATTGTCATATGAATGCAAGACAGAAAACCAAAACAATCAAACAGAATGCGAGGGAAAGGCTACAATTGCCAACTAGATTTGCACCATATATTCAATCTTCACAGCCAAACTAACTGATATTCAAGAAAGAATTTACTAATCAGACTAGAAAATGAATACACCGAAAGGAATGAGTACGCCGGCGCTGCTGTCGGTAAGATGGAAAAACTTGAATATTTGTTGCAGACATATTTAAATGCAACTCTAGAAAAAAATAACAGTCGAAACTTCGAGGCACAAGGCCGGGGGAATGATAATCGCACATGCAAGGGAAAGAAGAAGGGGGAAAAAAAATCAACGGAGCCCAATAACACTCTGCGATGGGGTTAGCTATCATGAGTTTTGAGTCAACTGGGGATGGGGGTCTTACCATCTCCAAAGTCCACACACGCCGGATCCAGACCTTTACTGGCCCCTCGACACCCTCGACGTCGTCAAGCTCGATACCCTCCCACCAGCAGCGGCGGGCAGGCTTGCGCCAAAACAGGAGAAGCTTCTGGGCCATGCCCACAGAATTGTTGTTTGACAGGTCTCCGCGGATATCAGTGCGGAGTTTGGCCAGTGCAAGGCTGCAGATTACTGCCTTGTTAGGCTCCGGGGCACGGTGGCCCCACTGGTCAGCACGATCAAAACCTCTGCATTGTATATTAGCGTGGCCCATAATTGAAACCCCAGGTTCTACTCACCCGGCTGTCAGCATTTCAATAAGATGCTGTTCAGTTGATCCAATTTCCTCGCTCTTGCGCAGTCCAGAAAATATGCCGTCCTGTCTCAACAGCGATCTACCGGCCGCCCGCTTGACTTCAAGCATTTCATCGTGTCCAATGTCGGCGCGAGGGGGGATCACATAGAAGTCAAGGTCCTCTCGGAGGACAATGATACCAGCACGGTCCTGCAGCATGTCACGGGCTGAGCCCTGCATTGGGTCTGACAATTCCATGTCTGGTGAGTTTGAGCCGGAAGGCAGAGATGAGGGGATGGTTTGGGCAACAGTTCGGAAGAAATCCAGCATGTACTGAAGTGAGACCGGGTCATACTGGATAATAGCTGTCAGAAAGACACTGATACTCAAGATAGGGATTTGCGTACGTCAACCGGGAATACATCCCCGTCATGAAAACCATTTGTAGAATGTCCATCCGGCAGGAGGCCATTGGGGAAGAGAGAGAGCAGAACGAATTCAGGCAAAGTCAACAGCTCATCTCGCGAAAGGGTAAACCGCGTACCACTATCAACTCGTTAGACTATGCATAATTGAGATATGAATCAATGTGTGACCCTACCGAAGATCAAGACCGACGTGTTCATCTCCGCCGATATCTATTATAACATGTTAGCGCAAAGCATACCAAGCGGCCTTGGTTACCAAACATACCACCAAGAGTGTTGATTGGCGGGCCCCCGGTCTGCTGGACCTGGGTTATGATACTGGAGGCACCTCCTGCAGCAGCCATCACGTAGGTGAATGACTCAAGTGGACTATAGCCTTCTGTGTATGGTGGTGGTGGTTCACCGTCGTCAGAAGAGCCCTCGTTTTTTGGTTCAGTGAAAGATGCTTTTGTGTCAGCAACAACTGCCGAAGATGGGGCCGGCTCGAGCGACTCCTCGACAGGTGCTGGAGGCGCTAAGGCTGGAGGACAAGCGGGTCCAGGTTCAGTAACTTTATATGGGTGATTGGTGTCTGACAGTGACGAGAAGATAAGAGACGAAAATGGCGGAGGATATGCGGGTGAGGAACTTGACGCTGGTGCTGGGGAATGCGGTGGAGGTGCAGTGTAATAATCGTCGTCCTCCTCTAGGGAGTCCGTTGGATGGGGCGGGCACGCCGTGGTTGATGGGTCCGACGGCGGCGTTTCTCGCGACACCGTGGTTTCTATTATTGCCTGGATCACGTCAGACAGGCTGATATGCGCAAGCAAGATGATCAAAATCCGACCTAGTCTAGCAATGCGACTGATCTGGGTCGAGTCTCGTCCAAGTCGCTGTGTTCGAGAGTCTTGGCAGTTTTCCAATTCAATGACTTTCAGCACCGGTATGAAAGAATGTTTCCAAAATGAGGAAAACAGATATATGCTTTCGTCTGCTAGATTCGCAGTGATTGAGTGTTGGAGAAAGAGAGGCAGCGCTTAGAGGTTGGGGAAGACGGGTAGATCAACTTGGGACGGCGGTAAGTCCGAGCGCCTCACTAGCCATCGAAACCTTGGCACGTGCCGTGTCCTCTGTCTTTCTGCTTTAGTTTGGAATTAATTTGGAATTAATTTGGTCTTTCTATTTCTAGATCGAATATTATTGTGGGATGATAATAGACGTGCTTAGCGAAGTTATAGTAACCTGAAGTATGCCCATAGGCTTTGACCTAGCCGGTCCCCCGCAGAAACCGCCTACTATTGATCTATCATTTCATATCATGATTCCAAGGTTGTGACCCTATTTTGATTTCCATTTTCAACTTCAAAAGGATTCAAGAGCTTAATTGCAGGTATAGAAACTACTTTCCTTTCTAATTTTCTTGGGATACACGATACCAAACTCAAATATCCTTTTCATAATTGTGTACTGCCTTGGAATATACATCCCGCCACATATGTATTTTGGTATAAAATAGGGGTAAGCACAATGACAATAAAGGTCGTCGATCACACGTCTCCGAGAAGACATTAAATGGGAGGCTATTTATATATGTGTATGTAGCTATTGCCATGGCAAGAGATACGTACTACACTATATATGCATTTCGTTTATATACTTCAATATTCCAAATATTTTTAAATAAATATGTCATATCAGACATTACGCTCTGCAAAGCTCTGAATCAGACCCTCGAGAGTCGGTTCATACTCCTTCAAGCTGACCTGATCGCCCTCGAGAATAGTATTGGCCTGTACAAAGACCTTGCGTGGGACCTTGTTCTTCAAAACAACCTCACGAACGGTGGTTCCCCACCAGCTGTCAACAGAGGTAATATCGTCGTACAAGCCCTTACCAGCCTCAATGTCTGCGGTACTCTTGTAGACATGCAGCTTCTGAAGGTACTTCTCCACGGCGGGGCGTCCATGAGTCAGGATCTTGGACCGGTCAAGACGGATCTCCAGATCAGAGAGATCCTCCTTGCTGTAAGACAACTTGACAAAGTCGTCACCGGCACCGAGGAAAGTGCGCAGAATACTGTACCGAGCCTGCATGTGTGCCTGGCCCCATTTCTGGGTCTTCGGATCCCAGAACTCGAGGGCAACCAGACCGGCGCGAGCCATGGAAAGGTAGGCTGCGAACAGAACGTCGCCGGCCTCACCAGCCAAGTCTTCCTTGCCATCGCCGAACCCGAATATCTTCAGGATGCCAAAGTCGCAGCCAAGCGCCATGGCCACGCACTCGGCACGGCACTCCTCATATGAGGAAGCAATGGAACCAAAGACCGAGCTCCATGTCTGTCCAGGCTTGTACCAGGTCGACACGGGCTTGTTGGTGACGGGGCTGATGGGTGGGTTCTTAATGTCAAAGTTGTACTCCCCTGGCGCTGTCTCCTGCAACAGCTTACCAGTTCCATGACCAAGCAATTCGTGGATGCCGACCTGGACCTCAAAGGCCGGGTCCCGGAATGCGCGGAAGACCTCCTGGTCACTCTCAGCAATGAAAGGAATAGGCTCGTTAGGAGCCTTGGCGCTGAGAACATTGCCCAGAGACACATTCTTGAAGCCAAGGTTCTGCCGAATGTCATCATAGTTGGGCAGGTTGATGCCAGCTGGGAGACCCGAGCAGGCGAAACTCAAGACCTCCAATGATGTGAAGTCGGGGCTGAGGAACTTGTCTTTCTCAAAGTCTTTACCCCAGGGCAGCTTGGGAATCATGCTCTCAGCACTGTCAACCAGGGTACCAAAGGCTCGGGTGCGCTCCAGATTAACCTGGAAATGTTAGTGATACCACGCAATATAAATTCAGCATGTGTGAAATACCAAAGCAACGAAGCCTTCCCATTCTCCGCGCACACCATGGGGGTCTCTGTATGTTTCAACAAATCCCAGGTTCGTCTCCAGCACAGGCTTTTGGTCCTTAACCCAAATACGCTGGCTCTCCTTGAAAGCCTCAATGGATCCGGCGCCAAATGAGAGAGCATATGAATCCAACATCTTCTTCTGGTTGTCATTTGCAGCAGCAAGTCCCGCCTGCTTGATGCTGTGCGCGATCTTTGCCATCTCCTCCTGATGGTCACCAAAGACAAGACGCAGTGTCTTTCCCTTTAGATCTCCATCAAGCACAAATGTGTCCACGTCGCCGAGATCACGGTCCCTTACAGGGGGGTTGGAAACACCAGATGCGATCAAAAGCTCAAAATCACCCGAGGGTGTCTTCCGGATTCTAGTATTCTCCAACGCAAGTCCCTTCTTCTCCATCAAGTCACCAATTGCCGTGATTTCCTCCTGTGAGATCGTCGGCGAATCGGGGTAGTAGGTGGTCATGTGGCCGTCCTTGGGATATCCGAGGTGCATCATGGACTGTTCACTGGTCTCGTAGATCCCCCTCCAGTGGTGTTAGCCTTCTCGAAAGCCGCCTTCGTCTCCGCAGTAGCCGAGGCCAGAGCCTCGAATGCGGATGCGGACAACCGAGGGATGAACTTTGTGTCACCAAAGCCCTTGTAGTTTCCGCAGTTGCCCAAGAATTGACCCGCATATTCAAGGAAGAAACGGAGGTCTTCGGAGCTGACTTGTGTCTTTTGGGCAAGACTGTTCCAGTCGCCATCGGAGGCGCGGTAGAGTGACAGGATGAGGTCGTAGATGGGTTCGGACTCGGGGGAAACCTGGCGCAGGGTGACTCGAGTGCCCTCAAATGCCGCTCTAGATGCATTCGAGAAAGGTTAGCTGCCAATAGCTCCTAGAAGGTATGGTATTGGTGCCATACCTGCTCATGAAGTGCGCATATTTTCTCAAGTTTTGGTCTTTGAGGGTATCAAAATGTGACTTGACTTCCAGTCTGACCACAGTAGGTGGCGAGTCAGCCAGATAATGCTGTTTGATGCTTTGGTCCATGGCGGCGCGGGTTAGATGGGAATACGAGGAGAAGGTGTTTGCCAGTCTCGGAGTCGATAGACGAGAGATTCGATGGAGGGGTAACAAAGGTAACACGGAGCTCCGGGAAAACAAATGCGGCGCAATGCCACCCATAGAGTACATATGGAGGGGCTTCACGACGTAGTATGACATATCATGAAGAGGCACCAATCAGGGACGTGTCTCCTTAGCCACGGTCGGATCACCGATGGAATCCCGATCTACATTGCTTGGCATGGGTTTCGATTTGCTAATTGAATGTTCAACATTTTTGGTCACTTTGCTTAATTACAACTGTTGCAGTGACTATTTATTTACTATGCTTGGAATGTGCAATAATAGCAATAACAGCAATAAAAAGGGGGTATTATCAGCCAAAAAATAACAAGAATTGTCACTTATATCAGACTCTCATACTTGTCCAACCCTTGCTTTTGAGTTCCCTGCTGCGGTGTCGCGGCTGTTCCCTGGAAAGACGTTGATCTGTTAATTGAGTTTATCGGAGGGGATCTCATAGCGCTGTTGGACACCATGCTTCCTGCAGGAGGAGGGGGTATTGAGAATGAGGAGTAGTTGGGTGCCGGTTGTGCCGTTGACCCGGACATATGATTCGAGGGTATCATAGTCGACATGGACCCCAATGGCTGACCCGGTGGGCCTGTGTGGGATTGAACATTGGCATTGGCCGGGGCTCCCCAGGTAGAAGATGAGGGCTGCATAGTAGGGAAGGCTTGAGCAACCGGTGAAGCTTGCGGAGCAGGAGCAAGAGACGGGAAAGAGCCCAATTTCTGATCTGGAGTAATGGAACGGAAGCCAGGATTAGACTGCTGGCTTAAGGCATTGGCTTGGTGTGTCATGCCTGCATTATTTGAAGACCACGAGAATGAAGGCGACATGCTCGGAACCGCTGGCTTGGCTGGCTTGACCGGTTCCATACTACCCCACATATCTATATCCTGGCCATTCGCAGGAGATGCCTTCTTCCCAAGAACAAGGCGCTCGAAGCTGCCAGCACCGCCGTCCACATCAGGCGAACTGAGGCCTGTGATGGACAGCGAAAATTCGTCGGCACCATTTTGGAAACCCGTTGGTCCAGCGCCAGAGGATAGCTCTTGCAGCTTTTTGCTTTGTTCCTGTTCAATCCTCGTTGAAAGAGTCTTTATCAGAGCCATAAAGGCATTGAACTGTTTAAGGCTCAAAAGTGGCCCGAGACTGAAACTCCAGAGAACCGGCAGAACTTCCAAAGCCAGGAATTCGGTGTCTGCGACGGTTCCAACTTGACGAAACACCTTCAACGATGCCATCATCACTGACGGCTCTTTCGTTTTGATCGCCTTGAGAGATGGGACGAGCTTTTCTTGAATGGTATACTTATCCAAGATCGAGGACTTGCCTGGTTTTGACTTAGTCGCCTGAATTCCGGACAAATCATCGTCAAGCCCGTCTGAGACTTCTGCAGAGGCCCCGCAAAGCACACTGAAAGCTTCTAGACTGCGAACCTTGATGGCAAGGCTGCTAGTGCGACTGAAAGTGGCAGCAATGGGAGGGAATACCTCGTTCTTGACCGTGCTAAAGTCGAGAACTGGGAGCATCACAGGGAGGCATTTAAGGGAAGCATCCACCAAAGAGTGAGTGGGAGAATCCAGCCCGAGCCGAATCAGGGGTAGAATATCTAGAGAGAAATGTCAGATGTAGGCTCAAAGGTTTCCATTGACAAAACTCACCGTCTTTGAACTCCATCCCTGAACAATTATCAGCAATCAGCTTCATGTTATCAAGCACAACCATGAGACCGGCATCTTTCTTGGAGTCTCGTTCAGCAGCCCCCTTGCCCGAGCCAGTTCCAAAGACTTCCTTCAGACGAGGGATGACTTTCTCTGGGAACACACGGCGTCCGTTGGGAATCCGCTGAAGAATCCCGAACACGTTTTGCAATATTAGCGGAAGGAGTTCCCGATCCTTCAATTCGTCCATCAACGCTCCCAATAGCTTTCTCTCTAGGACAGAAACGGGGAACTCAGGTAGCACCCGCTGTAAGCCACGCAAGAATTGAGACTTCTCATTAGGATTCTTTGCGGGCAAAGATTCCAAGAAACGGATAGTGGAGACTAACACATTGTCAAAGTACTCTGATTGCTGGAACTCTCGAGCATTCATGCGTTGGGCAGGCCTTCTTGTAATGAGCCTTGGTAGGACATGGGAAACTAGGTCCTTGGGAATTGGCTTCGAGCAGAGGAAATTATTGCTCTGCGATGGAGTGGAAGACGGAGAGCTCAGCAATTTCTTATATGTGGACAAGTTTGCGTTCGTTTGTAGAGGCGAGATATGCGGAGAGTTGTACAGAGCGACGATGACGAGACCCAAAGAGAAGAGGTCGGCAGCTGACGATACATTGGAGTCCATGGCAAAGTCAGGCGACGTGTAGTCAAGGCTCAATTGTACTGAAGCAGGAAGCCTTGGTTCTTGATAGAGAACCTCAGACACAGCCAACGGCGGTAGCGACGAACGAGTTTCAGAAGAGTCCGGAGGACCCGCGAATCCCAGACCAGAGATCTTCCAATCTGATTTGGCATTGATATAAATGGCCTCCGGGTTCAGATTTCCATGCACTAAGCCCGCAGACTCGTGGAGGAATTCAAGACCCTTAGCAACTTGCAAGAGCCCCTTTTGAATTTCCAACTCATCAATCTCCACATCTCGTCTTCTCCGAGTCCCATCTGCCTCCTCAACCACGTACCGACTGCTTCGCGAACCAGCGCGTGTGGTGTTCTCTTGGTCGTCTTTTTCTAGCAGCAGCCCGGAAAGTGAGGCGGTGAGATGTTCCGTGGCAAACATAAGACCACCACTACGCGTTTCCTCCACAGGCTCGAGCACCTGAAGAATGGATGGGTGCCGTAGCCGCGCGAGATTACTTGCTTCGCGCTTAAGTCGCTCGATCACATCGTCCTGTAGCTTTTTGGAGGAGGACCCAGAGCTCCTCCCAAACCCACTAGAGCGTGCCTCTAGTGACTTGCGATCAAAGATAAACACCGATGCCGCCGTTCCCGTGGACTTTTTCTTTGCATCGTGGATTTTCCAGGGGCCGGAGTAGACGGTGGGGTTAGGTGAGATTTGGTAATTGGCGGAAATATTGGAACTGAAAGACTTGAGCGCGGATGAAAACATGGTGGTGAGGCTGCAGATGAGAATTGGTCGGCACGATAGTCGACGGAATGAAGGGAGTTGTTCGTTTCACAGTGTCGTCACGGTGTAGCTAGCACAAGACATGTTTATTTTCAATAACACAGTGGGATTTAGAAGGAGTATCAATGGAAGGTGAGCCGATATTGGAACTCGATGGCTAATGGGAAGTCAGGAACATTAGCTTAAAGGTTGAGAGGAATTGTCCGCGGTTTGCATACTTGGTCAATAATCCGCGCAATACGACCTCACGTCCTCGATAACAACTATTCCTCCTATCGGGCCCAGCACGTGATCCTGTTAATAGCTATTATGTTGCCTCAGGCATCAAGGGTTTCATCGCCGACGCAAGATCTTGCGTTGCGTTGCGCCTGAACCCTCAGTAGGACCCGATGGTCAAATCCAAAAAGATATCCAAAAGAAAGTCAAATCACATTCAAGAAGACATTCAAAAAGAGATTGTGTGTTATTTATCTTGAATATAACGCTCTTACGCAGTATATAATCTTGAGTCAAATGGACCGGACTTCTGCGGTCCTACAATGGCGCAGTATCAATCCACGTACCAACATTATAAAGTTAGCTTAAAGAGCTTATAGATCCCCCTCTCGGGCCATATTATCATTTTATAGATCGAGGCCTGTAGACATGAACTCTTGGCGGGTGCCTCAGGCCCCGGACCCTACTGAGAGTTCAGCGCAACCGACACAAGCCGTAGGAAGCCGAACTAAGCCGAAGTCGGTGGACAACTCTAATTTGCAGCCGCTGATTGGCCAATGTGGCAGCGACATTCTTTATCCGGAGGGCGGTGGCAGAATTTCATATCTGGGGCCTCCGAGTCATCGGAGTTGTTGTCGAGCTCCGCAGAGATACTGCAGTTCTGGTGCGGAGTCATATTTCTAGTTGTGATATAAACCCACATTGACTCCTCGGTTTCAGTACGTTTATACTTCTTCCAGTGACTCAATTGATACACTCTCCACTCTCTATACTCTTGGCTGGCCCTTGGATCGTTCCTAACATCAACACAGTCATGAAGTCGCTTCACCAATTGGCTCGCCGACAGGCACTGACCGGGCTCGCAATGCCCCGCGTCCTTTCCTCACAGAATATTGCCTCCAGTCGGACATGGCACAGAGCGTTCAGCGCCTCCACGGCGGCCGCCTCCCAGCTCCCAGGTCTTGATGCTTCGAAATTGACTATCACCAAGACCACCACCCCCAAGGAGCTTATGGACTCCAAGGATCTTGTCTTTGGCAAGTACTTCACAGGTAAGAGAATCCCTGCGCTCCATTGTCTTCCAGGTACTGACCGGAAGCAATTGTAGATCATATGCTCTCTGTGGAGTGGACGGCTACCGACGGATGGCACTCACCTCGCATTGTCCCCTACCAGAACCTCAGCTTGGATCCTGCGACCTGTGTGTTCCACTATGCATTTGAATGTTTCGAGGGCATGAAGGCGTACAAGGACAGCACCGGCGGTATCCGTCTGTTCCGCCCCAACAAGAACATGGAACGCCTGAACAAGTCTTCTGCGCGCATTGCTCTTCCTACCGTGGATGGTGACGCACTGATAAAGATTATTGGAGAATTTGTGAAGCTCGATAGTCGGTTCATCCCGGAGTGAGTATATCTTGTGTACATCAGATGGACATCCTTGCTAACCTCCACAGTGCTCGCGGCTACTCCTTGTACCTGCGCCCTACCATGATTGGTACCCAGAAGACCCTGGGAGTTGGCCCACCAGGATCTGCTCTCCTGTATGTCATTGCCAGTCCCGTTGGTCCTTACTACCCA